TAAAATCAGGTATATACTCACCTGATCCTCAGTCCTACAGTGGTCATCACTCGCCTATTTTTCCCTCTGCTTCAGCTGTGGAATCTGTAGGCATCCTTCACATCTAATGCAGGTCAATGGACCTGCATAAGAGTTGATGATGTCATGGGTCCTTAGACCAGAGCCCAGAGAAGAAGAGGTTGCAGGGACAAGTCTAGCAGGAGGGAGGAGAGTATATCTGCTTTAGTTTAGCTCCCTAGACAAAATGAGCACTTAACTCTTGCAGTGGGGCTACCATTAGCTACCATTTGCTATTTTAATAAAGCAGATGTACTCACCTGATCCTGGGTCCTGTGGCGGTCAGCACTCACCTCTCTCCCCGTCTTTTCCAGCTGTGGAATGTCCCTTGGCGTCCTCATGACTAATACAAGTTAATGGATATGTTCTCAAAATTCCAGGAGTTACTCTTTAAGGACTTTTTTCTAGTTGTAACTGAAAATACTTTTAAATTTATTTAATTTAACATTTTTTAGGTGATAATTTCTTTCTTTCCCTGAAACAGCTTGTAAAGATGGAGAACTACATCTTATATGACGAAGTTGGAAAGGGAAGCAAGTCTGTAGTGTACAAAGGTAGAAGAAAAGGCATGATCAGTTTTGTTGCTATACTCTGCATAGACAAAAGACAAAGAGCAGAAATTACAAACTGGGTAAGTGCATATGTCATATTAAATAACTTGCTGTAGTGATTTGCTGTATTGCACGGGTGTTTATTTGTCATTTGTCAGTAGGTAACACAAAAATATTACTGTCTTTCTATATGCTCCTTAAAACAGGCAGCTCCCAATTTGCTATCACTATTTCTTTGTTGTTATCACAAAAATGGTGACCTTAAAGTGGCCCTAAACTCCAACAATTAAGATTTACTGTATTATAGGGAACATTTAGAAATTTCAATTGTGTCTGAGAAAATTTTACCTTTTTGTTTTGAACTTCTGAAAAATATTAGTGCACTTCCTGGTGAGGATGTGAAGGTCTCTGGTGAACAGGTACAGTGTGGGATCTAAGGCAATGCTAATCCCAGGAGATATAATAACTACTGTGGTGCTGATTGTTCTCCTTGCTGGAGGAAGCGTAACCTTGCCTCTACCAAGATGGCCACCTCCGCACAGAGACATCGTGCAGAACATTCACATGTATAAAATCTAGTCCAATCTGTGACATTTTTTTGCTAATAGGATTGGTATAAAAACAACAACACAGAAGGATAAGTTTAATCTTCTGACCATTTTTTTTTGTTACACCCATATTCAGGGTGTAACAAGAAACATATGCACATTACATCTCTCCCTCTCCCTCTCTCCCCAAATAAACACGTGACAAGTTACCTACAACTCCATATGATGTCTGGAATTTAAAATGTAAAAGATATGCAACATTTCCTACTATTTACCTCAAAGTGACACTAAACTCAGGAGTTACATCTTAAAGATGTGTTCAACTACCTTAACTATTGATACAATACAAAAATGTATCTTATTTGTGTCACTCGGCTGTAGATCCTCAAATCATCTCTGAATTCATGCTGACACTGTCCTTCCTTCTGGAGGGTGGCTACTTTTGTACCCCATGGTCCCTGTGTGCTGTAAAGTAGCCACCCTCCAAGCTTGCTCCTGTGATAGACTACAATCTCATGTTTAGTTTACTAATTTGTAATGAGATTGTAGTCCACCACAGGAGCGAGCTTGGAGCTGTGACTACTGTACAACACACACGGGGACCATGGGAAACAAAATAAGCCACCCCACTACAGCTGAGTGATTCACAAATAAAATACATTTTTGTTAATAGTTAAGGTACTTGAAAATATTTTTATGATCTATCTCCTGAGTTTAGTGTCAATGTACGTTTCATAATTTGTTAATTTTTTCAGTCCTAACTATAGTAAAGGTACTTGCTACAAACCCAACATACTATCCCATTACTGCTTATGCAATTATTGATTCCCACCCAACACTCTGACACAGTGTTTGATCATATATTCTAATGTATTGCTTTATAAACAGACACAATACACACAATAGTTGGGAGTTAAATATATCAGTAGATATTGCAAAATGTGTAAATATGATAAATGGGTGCTCTCTCCTAGAGAGCACCCCCCTGAAATGCTTATTTCAGGTTGGGATCCCTTGCATTGGCCTATACACATACAGTACAGCAATAAAATGAACTAGGATCACACTCCAGCAATCCAGCACGTTATTATTCTGAGTTGCCCCACTCAAGCGGCAGCCATATTGAGTGGGTCACGTGAGATTAATAACGTGCTGGATTACTGTGATCCTAGTTCATTTTATTACTTCATTGCTGTGCTGTATGTGTATAGGCCAATGTAGTTGGATCTGTATGTGCGTTATAATTAATCGATTCATCGATTTTAAAAAAATTTCGATTAATCGAACAGGAAATTTTTAATCATTACCAGCCCTATAAAATATTATTGCATTTTTTTTTTAAAAGATGGCAGTGTGTTCTGCAATGTGTATTTCTCACTGTACCTTGGAGAAGATACCTTATGTAAATTCAATCACTTTTTGTCTAGGTCCGTCTGACTCACCATGTTAAGCACAAAAATGTAGCAACGTTTTATGAATGGTATGAGACGAGTAATCATCTGTGGCTTGTTGTTGAGCTATGCACAGGTAAGATCTACCCTATAAGCTTATAGAAGTTCTACATGTCCAGAATATACTATCCTGTTATTACATCAGCATTGTAATCGTTACTATTGCTAATACAATCAAAGCTTACTTGGAAAAAATCCATTTGATGTAGTGAGTGCTGCCTTCCGTCTGCCCATCACCTTCAGCAACTTCTGGATTCCCAGTGTGCTTTGCATCTCTTTCCCTGCTGCTTGTTGTGATACAATTTTGATTTCTCAGTACTACATATCCCATCATGTATTGCTTCCAGCAAGCAGTGATAACATTGCATCGTTCAGACATTGAGTTGTAGATCAGAAGGCAGGCTCTGTGAAAGTTGTGAGACAAGGAATATTCACAGGGCTGAGTGTCACTGCATTGAGCAAGTACATCCTATGCGCAGCTATATACGGAAATACGGAACTTGGTTTTTGGAATTTGGAACTCGGAATTTGGAATACGGAACTCGGAATGCGAAATTTGGAATCTGGAACTCGGAATCTGGAACTCGGAATCTGGAACTCGGAATCTGGAACTCGGAATCTGGAACTCGGAATCTGGAACTCGGAATCTGAAATTTGGAATACGGAATACGGAACACGGAATTTTGGAATACAGAACACGGAATTCGAAATACGGAACTTGGTTTTTGGAATTTGTAACTTGGAATACGGAACTTGGAATACGGAACTTGGAATACGGAACTTGGAATACGGAACTTGGAATACGGAACTTGGAATACGAAACTTGGAATACGGAACTTGGAATACGGAACTTGGAATACGGAACTTGGAATTTGGAATACAGAATTTGAAATACAGAATTTGGAATACAGAAATTCGGAATTTGGAATTTGTAACTCGGAATACGGAACTCGGAATACGGAACTCGGAATACGGAACTCGGAATACGGAATACGGAAATTTGGAACTCGGAAATTTGGAACTCGGAAATTTGGAACTCGGAAATTTGGAACTCGGAAATTTGGAACTCGGAAATTTGGAACTCGGAAATTTGGAATTCGGAATAGGGAATTTGGAACTCGGAATTTGGAATTTGGAACTCGGAAAATACTGAATTCGGAAAATACTGAACTCGGAAAATACTGAACTCGGAAAATACTGAACTCGGAAAATACTGAACTCGGAATTTGGATTTTGGAATACGGAATTTGGAATACGGAATTTGGAACTCGGAAATTTGGAACTCGGAAATTTGGAACTCGGAAATTTGGAACTCGGAAATTTGGAACTCGGAAATTTGGAACTCGGAAATTTGGAATACGGAATTTGGAACTCGGAATACGGAATTTGGAATAGGGAATTTGGAACTCGGAATACAGAATTTGGAATGCGGAATTTGGAACTCGGAATACGGAATTTGGAATGCGGAATTTGGAACTCGGAATACGGAATTTGGAATACGGAACTCGGAATTTGGAACTCGGAATTTGGATTTGGAATACGGAATTTGGAATACGGAATTTGGAATACGGAATTTGGAATACGGAATTTGGAACTCGGAATTTGGAACACGGAATTTGGGATGCGGGGAATTCGGAATACGAAATTTTGAATACGTGGAATATGGACTTTGGAATACGGAGAATACGGAATTTGGAATACGAAATTTGGTTGATTTGATCCTGTGAAAATTGGCTGTGTGTGTACAATAGGGACCTTAGATTGTCAGTTCTTTGAGGGCAGGGGCTGATCTGAATGTGCACTTTGTAAAGCACAGCGTAACTTGTCGGCGCTATATAAATACCTTTAATAATAAATAATAGACTGGAACACCAAGGGTGTAATATGGCTATCACAGACCATGTGATTGCTATAGGGCCCAGAAGCACAGGGGGGAAGGGGAGCAGTCTGGCTACACAGTTACCTAATATGTAGGTTGCAGTCTTTGCATGTTGTGGACAGCACTAGACATTGCAGACTTGAGACAAATGTGAATGCTTCCAAATGTAAAGAAAGTTTGTGATGTGAGAAAAAAAAATGGGCTATTATTACAGACATCGTTCTTTTGAAAATGCTAGTTGCTTGGATTCCATGCACATGCGATTACTTCCTGAATCGCTTACCTGGAACAAGTATGAAGAACAGGAGTTCTGATGTCATTTGTTGTACATTTGTTCCTAGTCAGTGACTCGGAAAGCAACAAAACCAGAGACAGGAAAAATTAGTTTCAGAAGGATGGGGCAGGCAACTGTGGGCCCCCCAGCTGTGCTTTAACTACGAATCCCAATATACCTTTTGTCTTTGGGAGTCATGCCTGTAACTGTCAGTCTTGCAACACCTCATGGGCGTTGTAGTTCCACAACAACTGAACGGGACAGAGTTGCCCACCCCTGTTTATAGTAGCAACCTACAGATTTATCTCATTACACATTTAATGGTGGTAGTGGAAGCTGATGATGGCAGCAAGTTTTCCAGGCACACTTCTGATTCCCATGTTCAGTCCAGAAACTGTGAAGCAGAGAATATTATGCAAGTTTTCAGGTGATTTTTGCCTTCACTGCCTTGTCTTATAATCGTGTTGAATGCATTACAGGAGGCTCCCTGGAGACTGTCATTGCACAGGATGAACACTTGCCTGAAGACAAAATAAGAGGATTTGGTGTTGATATCATTTCTGGTCTTCATTATATCCATGAGCTTGGAATTCTCTTCTGTGATCTGACTCCCCGGAGGGTAAGACCTTAGTATAATGGTTGTTTTGCTGTTATACTATATTTATATAAATAGAAGGTCTGCGTCTATTGCCAAAATGTACTGCTACTCTTAACAGGACACTAGTATGATCACCTATTGTCTATAGCTAGGGTAACCAAATGTCAGACCTCCAGCTGTTGTGAAACTACAAGTCCCATGATGCATTGCAAGACTCTGACAGACATGACTACCAGAGGCAGATGCGATTTGTAGTTTCACCACAGCTGGAGGACCAAATTATGGCTACCCCTGGTCTATAGAATTGCCAGTTTGTACATTTGCCCGACATGTAGTGAGCTTTAGGCTGGATTAGGCCATGGGTAGGAAGCCTCAATACTACAGCTGCTGAGGAACTACAAGTCCCGTGATGCATTGCAAGACTCTGATGGCCACAGTCATGACTTCCAGAGGCAGATGCGATTTGTAGTTTCACCACAGCTGGAGGGCCGAAGCTTGGCTATCCCTGGTCTGTAGGATTATCAGTTTATACAATCTCAATTTAAACAAAGTTGGGACACTGTAAAATCGACATAAAAACAATGCATTTTATTCACAACAGAAAATAGAAAACATATGAAATGTTTCAATTGAGAAAATTTACCATTTGAAGAAAAAAATATTGTAATTTTGAAATTGATGGCAGCAACCCGCCTCAAAAAAGTTGGGACAGGGCCATGTTTACCACGGTGTAGAATCCGCTCTTCTTGTAACAGCAGTCTGTAAACATTTGGGAACTGAGGAGACCAGTTGCTGGAGTTCTGGGAGAGCAATGTTGTCCCATTCTTGCCTGATCTAGGATTCCAACGGCTCAACAGTCCTGGGTCTTCTTTGTTGTATTCTTCGTTTTAAGATGTGCCAAATATTTTTAATCGGTGAAGCGTCTGGACTGCAGGCCGGCCAGTTAAGCACGCGGACTCTTCTACTACAAAATCATGCTATTGTCATAGATGCATTATGCGGTTTAGCATTGTCCTGCTGAAATATGCAAGGCCTTCCCTGAAAAAGACATCCTCTGGATGGGAGCATATGCTGCTATAAAACCTGGATATATCTTTCAGCATTAATGGTGTCCAGATGTTCAAGGTGCCCATTCCATACGCACTAATGCACCCCCATACCATCAGAGATGCAGGCTTTAGAAGTGAGCGCTCATAACAAGCCAGAAGCTCCCTCTCCTCTTTAGTCCGGAGGACACAGCGCACATGGCTCAAAAAGAATGTAAAATTTCAATTCGTCTGACCACAGAACAATTTTCCATTTTGCAATAGACCATTTTAAATGAGCTTTGGCCCAGAGAAGACAGTGGTGCTTCTGGATCATGTTCAGATATGGCTTCTTCTTTGCATGATAGACCTTTTAACTTGCATTTTTGGATGGCGCAGCGAACTGTGTTCACAGACAGTGATTTTTGGAAGTATTCCTGAGCCCATTCAGTGATGTCCATCACAGAATCATGACTGTTTTTAATGCAGTGCACTGCGCACAGAGATTTCTCCAAATTCTCTGAGTCTTTTGATGATATTATGTACTGCAGATGGTGATGATATGTTTACAGTCTTTGCAATTTACATTGAGGAATATTAAATATATTGTTCACAGATTGGTGAACCTCCACCCATCTTTACTTCTGAGACACTCTGACTCTCTAAGATGCTCTCTTTATACCCCATCATGTTACTGACCTGTTGCCAATTTAACCTAATTAGTTGCAAAATGTTCTTCCAGCTCTTCCTTGTTAAGTACCACTTACTTTGTCAGCTTTTTGTTGCCCCGTCCCAACTTTTTTGAGACATGTTACTGCCATCAATTTCAAAGGTACCTAATTTTTTTTCTTAAAGGAGAACTTTTTTGCCCATAGTTCTCCTCAGGTTCATGGGAGGACATATACTGTGTCCTCCAGTGACCCAAAACTCAGTATATAGCGCAGCCAGGATGGATCCCAACAAGCCAGCTCTGCTTGAACCCCCATCCATTCCTCTAGTCCAGTGGTTCTCAACCTGTGTAACCTCAGGACCCACGTTTTTCCTTGATCATGAAGTCGCGAGCCAAGTCGCACTGCAATGGAACGAACAGCATTGCGGTACCACGCGTTTCGGTGCGGGCGATCGAACTGTGGGTGGGAGGTGCGTTTTGGGGTGTCATTCAAAAGATCCACCCAGTCTCCATACCTTACGAGAACTGGAGTTGATCTTCAGCCTGGGGTCCAGTGCCAGCTGATGTGCTGTGACGGAGCTCCATCCATATGTGCAATGCCTGTACAGCTCTCTTTGCGTGTCCTGTAGAGGTGCCAGGAGTCAGATTGGACATCACTCCGGTCCAGGCACCTCTACAGGACACACGAGGGAGCTATAGCTTTACGTATACGTAAAGATGGAGCTCCCTCACGGCCATAGCCCCAGCCTGTCCCACCTCAAGCGGACACTCGGCCTCGGGCAGCATGTTTTGAATGGCTGTTTGGCGCAAAAACTGACAGTGCTGCAAAAGAGAGGAGGTTGAGGAGCCTCTCACCTAGAAAAGTGGAAGGCACACAGCGACCCACTGAACATGGCGTTGTGACCCACTTTTGGGTCCCGACCCACCAGTTGAGAACCAAGGCTCTAGTCAGTGCTGGAGGAATGGACAGGGGAGGGGGAATCCCTGCGGGGATCGGTGACTGACAGTCGCAGCACTCTGCAGGGAGGGGATTGGGAAGTCCACGATCAGCGATATGTGTTCGCTGACTTCCCGATCAATAGAGCCGATCTGTGACAGCTTTTTTGTCACAGGCTGGCTTGAATTATGGGGATGCGTATTTTTCATTAGCCTCATAATTCTCCTTTTTTTAATCTCATTTTCTTCTGAGATTTGCAAATCATTCCCTTCTGTATCTATGTAGATATAAGCGTCCCAACTTTTTTGGAATTGGGGTGGGACATTTGCCTGACATGTAGTAAGCTTTAGACTGAATATCTTCCTACAGCTGTCTCTGAAAGCCACAAGCATGACTCCTGGAGGCAAAGGCATGATGAGATGTGTAGTTTCACCACAGCTGGGTTGCCAAGGTTGCCTTTAGGGGCAACAGAAGATATGTTTCCTGTGAACTCCGCTTGCAATGAATGGGCTTAATTCTCGTCTTGCAGACTGTCTTTGAGGCACTGCTGGCACCTAAATGCATCCTATTAGAATTGTCTACATTCTCTTTGTTGTTATTGTCCTGCACACAGTAACCTGATCGCCTTATTTTAGTGAGGTAGCAGCTGGAAGATGGCGTTCTGCAGTCCTGGCGCTGTGCTTGTGAACAGGATTCTAAGTAATCCCAGGGGAACAGCACTGACAAAACACAACAGGGTTCACTAATATTCTTCCTTTGCGTCTTCATGGGAACTGTATTCAAAACATTATTGTTTATGTATTTTGTGATATTTTCTGTCCTACAGTAAACCTTTCTTTTCCATTAACATGTAATCCATTAAAGTAGCATTTCTGTGATGTGGGAACAGGTGTGTGATGCCGCATGGAATCCAGCATTGCATGAGGTGGCATGTTGTAATGTTGGGAGCGCTGTCATTGTTTCTTAATGGCGCCCCAATGTGCCCAGCCATCGTGAGTGTGTTGCATCTTACCACATCACATGGTAACCTATTAACATGCATTGTGGATCGATGCGATTAAGAAAAAAAGGCTCATGTACTTTAGATGCAGAAGGCAGCCTATTGAAATTAATTGGCTGCCTTACCACAATGCATCCTGCAGCACCTGCAATGTCGCTTCGCAGATGTGTGAATACAATGTTGCTATTTTTGATGAAGATGAAAATCTTTGGTCTCAGTGCTCAGTCACACCATATCCAGTGCGTTCCGCCTCGGTCTAAGCCTGGAACGCACTGGATAGCATAGATCAGGCTCGGCTGCGTTCTAAGGTGGGAGGGGGTGTGGCGGTCCCATTCATGTTATTGGCACTGCAGGCACATCCAGCGGATCGCGAGGTACAGGAATGCCCTCCGTCCTGTGCAGTGCGATTAGGGGAAAAAAAGTGCATGAAGCATTTTTTGCGATCTCACTGCACTGGAACGGAGGGCATTCCTGTACCTCACGTTCTGGTGCGGGTGATCACACTGCAGGCAGAGAGTGTGCCTGCGGTGCTACTGACATGAATGGCACCGCCACACCCCATCCCGCCCCAGAACGGGGGCTCGGCCTGATCTATGTGATCCAGTGCATTCCGGGCTCTGACCACGCCGGAACGCGCCGGATATGGTGTGACTGAGCCCTTAAAGTAGATTTGAATTTTTGTAGGTAGTCCTAAGAAAACCATGCAAACATCCTAGAGCAGGGGTAGGCAACATTGGCACTCAAGTTGTGGTGAAACTACAAGTCCCATCAGGCATTGCTCTCTGACAGACACAGGCATGGCTTCCGGAGGCATGATGGCAGTTGTAGTTATACCACAGCTGGAGTGTTGAGGTTGCCTACCTCTGTCATTGAGAATAGAAGCATCACTCCACTTATAAGGTCCAGAAAGTAAGGGTTTTTTTTCCAACTACCAGGAGAAGCCAACAAGTTTCGGGGGTTGCAAGCAGGGCCGTCTTTATTATTGATCGGACCCTGGGCAAACATTTTCTTGGGCCCCCGCCCCTACCCACCAAGCCACGCCCTCTACCTGCAGTTTCTCTCTCCACCCCAACATCCCAAATCAATTTATTTATTTTATATATTTTTTTTTATTAGCCCCCCTGTCTGCCTAGCTACTGATGATGCAGATGGGCGGGCTGGTCTAGGCATGCATGATAGGCTCTAATCCCTGTGCTTTGATTAAAAAAAAGGTCCCGATGTTTTAATCTCTGCTGCCTGTCTGCAAAGGGATCAGAGTCTGTTATTGAGCCTGTGATCCCCGTGCTCTCCCCACTCATCCCCTTGGTTTCCCTAATCTCTCCCCCCACTGCTGTTACTTGCAGACAGGCAGCAGATCGAGAGAGCAGGACTTTTGTCTGCTCTGCCTAGCAACTGATGATGTGATGGGCGGGCCGAGGTACGTAATTATGACAGCCCGCCCATCAGCGTCATCAGTTGCTAGGCAGAGCAGATAAAGGTCCCGATCTGCCGATCTCTGCTGTCTGTCTTATCTCTGGACAGATAAGGGAAACCAGGAGGGTGAGGGGGGAGAAGGGATGGGACACTGACATCCCGCATCTCCAGGTAGGGAGCGAGCAGTGCAGGCTCAAGGGGCGGCTGCTTTGTGCCCCACAACAATAACTGGGCCCAGGGTAACTGCCCCTTTTGCCATGCGTTAAAGACGGGCCTGGTTGCAAGAGTTCCTCATTGTCAGAGTTTGTAATATTGGGACATAAGGGTAGTGAGGAGGGCACACAGGACAGGGAAGACTGCCCTACCCTGTGTACTCTCCTCATTGCCCTAGTCATACCAAGCCTAGCTCAGTAGATCGAGCCAGGAAGATAAAAAACTGACCGAGGTTCTAACCCTTTTGTGCTTTGCAAAACAAAAAACATTTTATCTGGATTTGGACTATAAACATGTTGGCAATGTATTGATGTACAGAATGTACTTACATTTTGTTCCACCTTCTTTATAGATTCTGCTTGATGGACCGGGCACTTTAAAGTTAACAAATTTCAGTTTTTCTAAAGCTGAAGGAGAAAACCTAGAAGAATTCTTTGCCATGGTCGGATCGGAGGAGAATACTGGAGATACAGGAGATTCTACACCACGACGTAACCTGAAAAACCGCATAAAAGGTTGTTTGAATTATTTGAATGCTTCCAGAAGTACAGAATCCTACAGATTGACTTCTGCTGTGTTTTGATCAATTCCCCCTCATTGTGTTTAAAAAGTCTTCCTATGGAAAACATTTATTTTTAAGTTTTGGATAGAGTGGTAAAATGTTAGAACTTCGGTCTGTGTCCCCATTGTGGGGTCACCTTACTTCCTATTGTGTCACAAAAACTTGAAGTGAGCATCATTACACCAGTTGGGACACTTAAAGCAATAAAATCCCTTTAATTAGTAGAGTGAGTGTTGTCACCTTATGACAGGAAGGATGACTGACAGGATCACCAGCTGAAAATAAAGGAAGTAAAGCCTGAACAAAGGAAAACGCATGTAGCCAGTGCATTAAAGGATTGGTATCTACAATATATTACATGTTTGTTGTCAGGTTTTCGATATGCTGCATTTATTCAAGGTTGTGGCAGTATGGCTGGAGGTGATGGGATAAAACCATGTTTACTAGGGATGCACCAATACCGATACTAGTATCAATATCGGTGCAGATACCGAGTATTTGGGCCAGTACTCGTACTCGCCCAAATGCTCCGATGCCTAGCCCGATACTTCGTGTATCAGGAACCCGGGCAGCACTTGTGACGCAGCGCCCGGCTTTCTGATTGGCCGGGAAGCTGGCTTCATGCTCCCTCGTCATCTCATGACAATGGAGCCGGCTTCCCGGCCAATCAGGAAGAAGGGCGGCCCGTCATTACACGTCGCCCGGCTTCCATGATTGGCCAGCAAGCCGGCTCCATGCTTTCTCGTCACACAGTGACGAGAAGCATAGGACGGCTTCCTTGTTAATCGGTAAGCCGCGTGGCAAGTCTTTACACGCTGCCCGGCTTCCCGGCTAATCAGGAAGCCAGGTGGCGAGTCATTACACGCAGCCTGGCTTCCTGAATGGGAATTTCGGTACTCGGTATTTGGTATCGGCGAGTACCGAAAAAAATATATCGGTACCCAGTACCAAAATACCGTTATCGGTGCATCCCTAATGTTTACAAACCAGTTGTGGATGGATGTGAATAATTCAGTTATTACTCAGATTTCTCATCACTTCCTCTCCTGGTAAAATAACAGGAAGTAAAGCTAAATTGTCCCAGTGGGGACAGAGACAGCAATTAAAAACATGATGGTGTCCGACCGTTCTCCATCTATGTAAAATGTAGAAAAGTGTCTGGAGGTCTGTATGGGAGTTCCGCTTTAAATTTATAATCCCATCTACCTGTTTTTAGTCTTTAAAAAAAAACCTTTCCAGATGCAATGTGTAACTGAGTTGCTTACATTTCAGCAGGTGTTAGAGCTAGTTCACACCAGAACTGCGTGCATCTGTGCAGCTGCAATGTGATTCAGTTTGCCGCGATTTTTACCGCGATGGATGCATTTGGTTTTTTTATTGCTTAAAATGGGATTTCCGATGCATTCCAGTGCATTTGCATGCGGTTTTGATGTGTTTTGTTGCGATCCGATGCAGCTAAAATAAGGAAAGCAGTATTTCTTCTGACTGCATCGGAACGGACTGCACTGGTGTGAATAGAGCACCAGAAATCCCATAGGAAAGCATTGTGATTTTGGCTGCAGCAACCAAACTGAACGCACATCATCTGTTGTGAACTAGCCCTTCAATCTTCTTTTTTTTTTTAATGAGCGATATGCTAAATATATTGATATGTTTGTTCCATCTTTCTGTAAAATGTTTTGCAGGATCACCAGTTTATGCTGCTCCAGAAGTAATCAGAGGAGCAGATTTCTCAGTTTCTAGTGATCTTTGGTCTTTGGGATGTGTGTTATATGAAATGTTTGCTGGTAAGCTTTAATTATCTTTTCAACTTTTATTTGTGATGAAACCCCCATTTCATGAGTTCATTAGAGAAATGATATGAACATTTTTATATGAAGATTTACCAGGGAATAAAGTCTGAATTAAAGTAGTGTTACACTCTCAAACTTTTTTCAATATAGAATCCAGATCAAACAAATATACATTGCCCAGCAAAGTATTGCTTTACATTTTTACCCAAACACTTACAGTCATCATGTTTCTAAACAGCTCCAACTCTCTCAGCTCGGCTTCCCTTGTCCAGTACGACGTTCCAAGGGACATCACAGTCTCCAGTAGCTGTCCATCTAGTAGCCTGGAGAAGGGAAAAGCAGAGGCAGTGAACAGGGGAGTAGCTTGTCTTACTGTGCTTGTGTTTGTACAGACATACACAGCTTTCCATCACACACAAGAGAGGCTCCATAGGACCTTGCAAGGGATAGGAGCCACCCTAAAGCAGAAAATCAGGGCCAGTGCTCAGGGCAACAGCTGATTCTACAGGAAGCTAAAACTTTTAAACATCAAGGAGCAGCATCCATTGTAATCAACATTTGAAATAATTGAAAAACCTTTTGACTTTAATATCACTTTAATAACAATAATACTATGCTTAAATAAAAGGTAACCTTTAAACCAATCAGACATCAGTTAACATGTCTGTTTGTTTCTATCTTAACAGGCCAACCCCCATTTTTCTCCGAAAGTTTCTCAGAATTGACAGAGATGATTGTGAATAAGGACTTTCCTCCACCCCTGGGTAAAGGTTCACTGATAACATTATCATATTTGTTTTGATTACTGTTGGCTGCGAAGACATCTGTTGTTGATCTTAGTGGATCATGTAACATGTACCTCGTGGTCCTATTATTACTTTTCTAGCCAGACAATCCTATTCTTCCACTTCTTCTACAGGTGAAACTCGAATAATTAGAATATCGTGCAAAGTTCATTTATTTCACTAATGCAACTTAAAAGGTGAAACTAATATATGAGAGACTCATTACATGCAAAGCAAGATAGTTCAAGCCGTGATTTGTCATAATTGTGATGATTATGGCTTACAGCTCATGAAAACCCAAAGAACCCCAAATCCACAACCTCAAAAAAGTAGATTATTACATGCAATCAATAAAACAAGGATTGTACATAGAACAATATCGGACCTCTGAAAAGTACAAGCATGCATATGTACTCAGTACTTGGTTTGGGCCCCTTTTGCAGCACTTACTGCAATTACTTTTGCACGATATTCTAATTATTTGAGTTTCACCTGTATATCTTTTTTGGTATCTCTGGCTTTCTTTGATCTTTGGTTTCCTTTTGTTACAAAAGCACTGACTTCACTCACGTCTGAGCTTAGTGTTGCAGAGTTGCCATCCCACTGTCTAATAACAGCATATTATAGATTATTTAAGAGACGCTGTGACTTGCCCATTCAGTGAAATATTAAAGTGTCCACATATAACCCCCCCCAGCAATGCATACTCACCCATCCAAGCTTCCTTGCCGCCTCCCTGGTGCAGGTATCCACCCAGTTGTCTGAATTTACTGGAATGAGTGACATGACTGGCCCTCATCATGTGACAGTGTTTGGACCTGGTGAATGGCCAGCACTGTCTCATGGGGAGGTCACATACCTGAAGCCCCTCTCCTTTAGAACAACGGAGCTAGGAAGCAGGGGCTGAGAGGAGGCACTGTCACTGAATAAGCAAAGTGACATTGTCTCTTTAAAGGCACTCGTATTGGTCAGTATGCAGGCAGTGGGGAAGGGATTAGCCTAGAAGCCAGGGAAATTAGATCTCTAGTATTAAAATTAAAATAAATCAGTGACACCTACAGAGGATGACTTTCTAGCTAAGAAAAGCTGGACAAATCTTTTAAACCTGGGTATCTGAAGAATAAAAAGTTAACAGCCGCCTTTACTCTTCCAATGTTACTTACTGTATACCCCTTGTACTTAATCGGATCAGCATTGACCTGATGCAGGAGCTGTGGCCTGCATCCTATTCTCCATATGCCCTAATGCAAAAGCGTTCTCCCTGCTGGCTTGCAAGGAGATGGCTTTTTCATTTGAGTCTTTTTAGGATAGTCTGCACATGTGCAGTACCACATGACCCCGCTAGCTCAGAACAGGAAAGGAACTCTGCTTGGTGTGTAGTGCGGCTCAGCGCTAGGTTGCCTGCTGATCTAAGTGCCAGAGGGTATAGGTAGTATGGGAAGGGTGTGGGGGGCTATGCTTAGGTTAGGAAAAATGTACAGCTATCCTTTAATTTAGTCCTGTTCTTGGAATGCAACAACCACATTTCTACAAGGTGATACATTTTAATTTTCATCTGTTAACTGCTGCAAGCATTTAAATGGGAAAATCATGCACAGAAGTGTCTAAAGAAATAGCATATTTGCTACCTATTGCAGAAAATCAGGTGCTCCCCTTCATCTTTCGGTTTCAGTGGGTTTTTATTGAGCTCTTTGTAGCAATTACAGTTTAGATAAGACAAACTATAATATACTAGGAACCATGAAATCACATATAAAGCACAGAAATCTCCAATGTTCCAGTAAACTGAAACACAAACATACTCTAAGAGCTGCTTCAGTATTAAAACAAGAACTGGTAAGATATGTCTGTTCATAAATAGTTTCTGATATCATACTTTCCAAGCCACTGAGCCCAGAAATCACATTTATAGCTGGAATAAGATTGAATGAAATGGTAATTTCTGGGTTTAGCTTCTTGTTTCCAGTGAGGTATAAAGCTGATTGCTTGCTCTGGGTAACAAGAGCAGCTCTTTCTGCCGATTTGGGGTCTTTCTGCATATGTCTGTAATAAGTTTGAATTGCATGTACCTCATTTAAAAATTGTGTCTGGAATTCGCAGGTACATTTGTAAAATGTCTAATTTCTTGACATTTAGCTATTCAAGCTTTTGGCTGTCGGTTGCCAAAACGTTTGCTAAGGATTAGGTACACCTAAATGAGAGGTTAGATAAGCTGAATGCAAAATATTCGGCAGCATCAATTTACACGCTTTTTTATCATGTACTTTAATTGTTTATATTCCTATTTTTCGAGACAAGCTTATTGGAAGCTCTGATTGTTTGATAGTATTGGACATGTGCAAATACTTTGTAGCTGGCTGTTGACAGACAAGACAGCCAGTAAAATATGAACATTTTCCTGTTTAGATTATAAGCTCTCACGGGCAGGGCCCTCCTTACCATCTAGTCTTGAATTGTATTGTAATAATAATAACTTTACCATTGGATGCTTCTAAAGCCTGATTAAAAAAGACATAAAATGGAATGATTACAGTGTTAACATTATTTACATTTTTGATGATCCTACTGTATTACATGGTACAATCAAATGTGTGAAAATATGGAGAAAAGCAGACAAACTTTAAAGTGTATGTAAACCCTAAATCTGTTTTTCAGTATGTTTGGCATCATGCCTGACTGCAACAAATTCACAAAAAATGATTTGCTTATGAAAATTGTACAAAGTTTCCTCCTGTGTTACAGCACTTTGTGTGTTGCGGGCTAACAATGCTAAGCTGCTGCCATGCAATTAGCAGCAGTGGTGTTACCCTGCCATGCGCACTTCTTCACTTGGCCTTTGAGCAGCCTATCTTATAGACCTGATAGGCAACCTAGGGGTCAACTGACATGATGCCAAATATACTTAAAAATATATTTGTTGGTTTAGATACACTTTAAGCATATATTCCAGCTGTAAATTATTTTAGCACTATTTAGACCCCAAGTTCAATGTCGTAAATACAAATGCAAAAAAATGGCTTTCTAATGTTTTTGTTTCCTTATCAGGCATGTCATCTGCTAAGCCATCTTCTGAGTTCCAATCATTACTTAATGGTTTGCTACAGAAGGACCCATTAAAAAGGTAGGGAGACCTGCACAATTTGGCTGGATCAATGATGTCTGTCAGTTGTTTCCACAAACCCATCTTGTTCTTTTGGCATTACAAACTGTACATATATAATGAAAACAGACCAAAAAAATGAAGATAACACATCTAGAGCAACATCCATAACACTAAGTTAAACTCACAATTCAGTATTGAGAATTGTGACTTTACCTGTTTTTTCCTTTCTGGACAACCAGACAAAACCAGTAAAGTCAAAACGTTATCATATTAAAACGAACATTCAAAAAAATGGAATATCCACTTTACTGCTAGTCCTCCAAACAGAATTAGGTTTAAAAAAAACCCAGAGGCTACCTGGCTTCCTGGCCAATCAGAAGGCTGGGCGGCGAGTTATGAGGTGCCATTCAGCTTCCTGATGGGCTAGGAAGCCAGGCTGCTTAGCAACACGTGAAGCCGGCTTCCTAGCCAATCAGGAAGCTGGGCGGCATCCAGCTTCACTTGTTCCTAGGAAGCTGGGAGGCTCTTTATTGCCTGCCGCCCGGCTTCCTAATTGGTTAGGAAGCCAGGCTGGTTAGCAACACGTGAAGCCAGCTTCCTAGCCATTCGGGAAGCCAGGAGGTGGGTCATAACCCACTGCCCGGCTTCCTGATTGGAAAGGAAGCCGGCTCCATGCTCCCTCGGCACTGCCGGTCAGAGGGAGATATCCCTATGACCGAAACTACCGGTATTGGAGGTAAGTTTTGGAGCATTTGGGCGAGTACGAGTACTTGCCCAAATACTCGGTATTGGCACCAATTCTAGTATCTGTATCAATGCATCCCTACTGATGAGCTATTCTCTCTTTCCCTCTGCTCCCACTACCCATCTTCATGTCACCTGCTTGCACTTGAGCTTTGCAGCATGTCTTCTTGTGCTGCTTCTTCCCTCCCACTCTGAGCTCAGGTTCAATTCAGACACTTACATTGGTAATTATTATTGAGTACAGGACTGTTTAATGTGTGTCTTTTATATTTGCCTTCAATGTAGCTTTACGATAACCCTGTAAAACACAACTTAATGCACAGACATTACTAGATTAGGGTTATATTGTAAAACAGTGAAGGTTTGCTATGTTCTAGTGAACATCAAGAAATGTCAAATGAGTGTGAAAGTCTCAAACGTATTAATATATTGCCCAGGAAAGTATATCTTTAAATGTTTGCCAAAACACTTAACCCCTTCTAAGTTTAATGCTCTCATGGACTTATATGTTTGAGTCAGTGACAATGGAGGCATAACATTTTTTCTCTTGTAGGATTACATGGCCTGAGTTATTGCGCCATTATTTTTGGAAAGATGCATTTTCTGGAGGTTTTCAGCTGGACCAAACTATCAGCACCCTTGGGTATGATATATGCATTCAAGTCCATATCCAGTAAATGTGGATTGTTAAATTTATATTACCTGTATACCTTGATTGTGACATTTCCATTGTACAAAATGGGGTTGTCTATCCCATCTCCTCAGTATGTATGGGGAGTAGCAGATTTAATCTGCCACATATGATGTAGGTATAGCAGCCCTTTCATACAGGGAGGTTGGCGCTCCACTGAGTACTGTCACATTACAATCTCTGAAAATATTCCTTTCATGCCAGTGTGAATTGCAGTAGGCATTTCTGCAGCTTACTGGTTAGGGCTGAAGAGAGTTTCATCTGTTTTGCTGTACAAGGTTCCACAGAAGTATTTTCAAAAAATCATGCTACATAATGATAGTCATGTTAGTTTGGAAACTGTCAAGGTTGACATTGTCATTTTTTTTAATGACAAGATTACTCCCTTACAAACATAAGCAACATTTATTCTGATGTTTGTTGCATACTGATGCAGTATGCAAAGTTTTAACACACCCTCAACACCACCATTATGCCTAAATGCTGGGCTATTCTATCTGGAAAATCTCTGGCACTTTCTGAGGCCCACATTTTAGTTGGCCAATGAGGCTTTCCATCATAGGCATAGGCCAATAAGAATAGGTAGAAGGCAGGAGGGAGCAGGTAAATTTTGACACTAGCTGAAAGTTTTAGAATGGCGTGGCATTTGGGCATAATGTCGGATAAATTGAAACCTGGTGTAGGTAGGTGTCTGCACTTTATACCTGAGAATTTTTTTTCAATGGCATACTTTCTTTAAAGCAAATACTATTTCAACACCTTTTGCTCTACATAATTGCCTAACTAACTAACTAACTTTGCCCAACCTTAAGTTGAATCCTATTGTATCAGCATCCTTATCTGTAGTTGCCACAGTCTTGGGTATTCTGGTCACTTTGGCTACTGGAACAACCTGTCGGCAACATTCAGAGAATTAAAGAGGTACTTTAAAGTGTAAAGTCAAATTTGAGAAAACCCCTCTATATAATTTGTGTTTCTATTACAGAGCATACCTAAAAAAAAAACCTACCCAAAAAACAAAAAAAACAAACCCTTTATCGATATCTTTTTGGTGAAGGTCTTTGTGCAGGTTCCAGGCTAATCTGAGCAGTTTGCAAGGGACGTAGAGGGACAAACTGAGACTGAGCTTCCTCTCATTAACATACAATGCTTCTAAGTATTAAACCCAATGTTGGGACAGACATTCTTCAAATCTACCAAGTGCTCGGAAACGAGCTCTCAGAAAAAACACAGACTTTTGAGGTACCACAAGGATCAATCCACATTTGCTAAAGTTGTATCTAAGTTTTATTTTTATTAAACACAGTTTAAAACACATTAAATAACATAAAAAAATGGGGGAAAGGAGGAGGGGGGGAAAGGGGAGTTTGTTTAAACATATTTTGTAGCTCTATTTTCCCATTAGGCTAAAGAAACTAAAGAAAAACAACAACAGCCTCAGACAAAGATGGGCCTCCTTGTAGCAAATATAAAAAAGCTTTAATATCACTTTAAGTTACGCAATGTGAATGGTAACGTGGAGCAAACACAAAGTAGGTGTTATGTCAGTTTGGCTGTAAACGTGGGAATTCACTTTAAGGATACAAGTGACACAAAGACAAAAATGTCTTGGATCTGTGCAAAGCAATTACGAAGCAGTACAGAAACACATGTAGCCATAATTGGATATCTTGCATACAGACTCACTTTAAACAACAAGACTTTGGAACCTCCAGTTTATTTATTGTTGTTGGGAGATCTAATTATTGATTATATTTCATGGAAAACCAAGGACTGCTGTAGGGTAAACAGAGCTTGTTTGGATTCTGCATTGTAAGGCATGTAGTGTGAATTATTTTCTACACAAGATCTGATGTCTGCATACAAGTACTATACAGTAAACTACAGCAGAGGGAGGTCAGTCACCTTCCTCTAAGCTTCAAGCATGTTTGGTTCAGCTGACTGCTAACAAGAAAAACAGAGCTACGTTCGTGGCTAGGGGCAGATTCAAAGATAGAAACAGCAGCCTCGTCTTTGCCAGAAGTCAGAATGACGTTTGTGTTTGTTCACAATTCTCATTTAGCACCAAGTGTATTATTTCTGCTAATAATAAGATGAATAACAAAATGTAAGTTAACAATCATTTTGTACTGTACAATTAATATGTAAGGGAAGATCTTTTCATTTGTATGTGTTGGTTTTAAGAAAAGGGCATCCTCCCCAGGCTGATATGTGAACAGGGACACATGCATATTTTCTTTTTTTTTGTGGCATAAGGATCACAGAACTCCAGGTTAAAGTGTTCTGCACTGCAAGGGTTAAGTGCTCGTTTTTGCCTAGGTGCTAAAAAGAAAAAAAAGTAATTCTCACCTGAATTGCAGAGCTGGCTACTCTGGTCCCTGAAGCCTGTCTCTTCCTCCGCTGCAGCAAAGGTATGTCTATTGGTGTCCTCAAGTCCTATACACTGTGCATAGAACATGATGACTCAGGGATCCTTAGAAAGTTGCAGCAGAGGGGGAGACAGGCTCCAGGGACCGGCCTTACAGCAAGCATGCTTCAAGAATCCGGTGAGTTTTTTTTTTTTTAGCACCTAGACAAAAACGAGCACTTAACCCTTGCAGTGTGGGGGTAGCCCCACTGTAAGGGTTAAGAACACTTTTTTGCCTGGAGTTCTGTTTTAAAAAGGACCTCCCAAAACTGATAGTGTAGTTCAGCTTACAACAGTAGCATATACTGTATGCAGTACATTCTGCAGGACTGTTCAATAAAAAAAATGAAAAATAGACTGATGTTAAAATGAGCAAATAACACGTACATGATCCTTTTGTGGATTTATTATGTCTTTTATACTAGTTATGTTTTGACAACTGATCAAACATATTTGTTTTGTTAGTATTTTATGACATGTTTTGTATGACTTTATTATGTGTTCATTTTTTATTTGTATGTTCAGCTATGAGTTTACTTTTATGCAAGGGTTGGCTACATAAGGAAACAGCATAAAGAAGACTAGATATTGGGTTCATGAGGTGCATGAAGAGTTTGAGGGCCTGTTCACATCTTGCAGGGTTATTCACAAAAGAGTGAAGAGTTTGGAGAAGGCAGGAGAAGTGAACAATCTCGGACAACATAGCTGATTTGGGAAAATTCTGCAATTCAGCTCACTTTCCAGTTCAGCTATGTTGTCTTAGATTGTTCACTTTTCCTGCCTTCTCTAAGCTCTTGGAGAAGGCATAACCCTGTATGTGTTTACCTCTGGTATAACATGAATTTCTTTTTCACTATCCATGGGTAAACACAGGGACAGTTGCAAATCAATCAAAGCTCATCCTTAGCCACAATTTGTTTTAGTATAGAGTAGGGAATGGTTACAGCCCCTTTCAGGTTTATCATGCTAAATTCAAGAAATATCCAGCACTCCTTAAGTGACACTAAACTCAGGCGTTAAATCTTAAAGGAGAACTATGAGGGGGTGCTTTTCACTCACCTCATAGTTCTAGCCGACCTGTAACAATGAGACTGTCACAGGTCGGCTCAGTAGATCGGGAGGTGAGCAAACACATACCGAGTTCGCTCGCCTCTCGATCCTGTCACGGCTCTCTGCTGTGACTGGGGGAGGGGCTGGATTCCCCCCTCCCCGCTCCGATCTGCCAGCGCTGACTGGCGGAACGGACGGGGGAGGGGGCGAGTACAGCTCGCTCTGCCTCTAGATAGGCAGAGCCAGCTGTCATTCACGCAGCTGGGCGGATCCCGTCATCTAAGTCGGGATCCGCTCCGGCTGCGGCGTCTCAGTATACCGCGAGCTGTAGCTTGCGGTATACTGAGCTTAGGGTAACTGGAGGACGCTAGTTTGTGTCCTCCCGTTACCCTAAGGAGAACTATGGGGAAAAACACTGACCCCATAGTTCTCCTTTAAACATGCATTCAAGTACCCTAGTACCCTAACTAAAATGTATCTTTAATGTGTATCGCTCAGCTGTAGATCCTCAAATCACCTCTGAATTCATGCTGACACTGTCCTTCCTCACACTTCTGTAGGGTGGCTATTTTTGTTCCTCATGGTCCCTGTGTGTGTTGTAAAGTAGCCGCCACTCCAAGCTCACTCCTGTGATGGGCTACAATCTCCCATTTAGTTTACTAATTTGTATTGAGATTGTAGTCCATCACGAGAGCGAACTTGGAATGGTGGGTAATTTACAACACACCCAGGGACCATGGGGGAACAAAAAGTAGCCACCCTCCAGAAGGAAGGGCAGTGTCAGCATGAATTCAGAGATGATTTGAGGATCTACAGTTGGGTGATACACAAATAAGATACATTTTTGTTAATAGTTAAGGTGTTTGAATGTGTTTTCGATGTTTAACTCCCGAGTTTAGTGTCGCTTTAAACATTGTGGAGTGTATTTATAAACAGTTTACAGAGCCATGTGTCCTGCACATTGCATGCACATTTATTCTGTGCGAATGGAGATTAAAACAAATGTTTATTTGGGTGTGGCTGCACACCCTTCTACACTGACTTTGGGCAACAGTGCAAGACAGTATGTTGAATAGGTTTATCATGCTTTCAGTGTCCTCTCTGGCTAGTGTCACCCACTTAATACACGTATGTCTTAGTGATTGTTGTCACTGATTTAGATATAGGTCTGTTGTAGGTATATACGTTTAGATACATCTGTTTTTTTCCTGTAGTAACAGGCGTCACAGGCTGCAATAGCAATACAGTATAGTACATGATAAAGGATGTTATCCTGGGGTTTTATTAAATGGTAAGGAAATGGCCGCGTAGTCACGGAATTGAACACCACTGCTGATCACGCTGGCAGTGCCATTCTTTTCTAATGGCACTCCAGTCGCACTAAGCAGATTGCTTGGTTTTCTGGCCCAATTCCGCCAATGCAATCGTGCGCGATCGTGGATGAAAAATAAGCGCAGTACATGTTGTGAAAAAAGGTTCATGCACCTTTTTTCAGTGATTGCCATGCGGCAATAACCCCATTGAAACCGATGGGGCCACGCGGGAACCGCTGTTTGCAACCTCACACGATCGCGAGGTCCTGGGATGTGTGTCCTGGTATCGCCCAAGTCTGAAGTAGGGAACTCTGTAGTAAAAAAGAATGCAGGTAGTAAAATACATAAAAAGATAAAAAACAATAGCAGTTAAGGAATGAAGCAAAAACTGCTGCCTCCATCTACTGGACACATTTGTTACTACAGAATGGATGCTGAGGCTTTGACAGCATCAGTCAAGATACGTTGCTGTAGCTGCATCAGTCAAGATACGTTGCTGTAGCTGCATCCTCTGACAGGAAAACAGGGCAGCAGAAAACTAGTGATATTATAAAGGGAAATGTCTTGCGAGTGCAGCTATTTGATACAGAAACTGTAATAATATTAAGGCCTCATTCACACTGCCGTACAATACGCTGTGTATATTCGCGTACGCTCCCATATGCAGCATATGCAAATAAATGGCCTCTTACACATAGCTGCGTATGGAGCCCTATATTTGCCCTGCGTAAAGATGCACAAAAACAGAATGGACCTGAGATGTGTCCTGGCAACGTATTTCTGCGTATTTTCCGCACATATGCACGCACGTACAGTTCATTAAAATTTCTATTATGCATTCTGGGACTGTATATAGTGCACGCATATACACGCGTATATACGCGCTATACGCGCTATACAATTTTGCTCTTGCGTGGTGTGTGCATGAGGCCTAATCAGGGAATTACCAAAGGGCATACTCCCCAGGCTGATATGTGAACAGGGACACATGCGTATTTTCTTTTTTTTGTGGCATAAGGATAACAGTAGTTCTGAGCACCGGTGGTAAGCCCCAAAACGAATAATAATCAAATGCTGTCACGTAAATGTCTGCAGCCTAAAATATTTTTGGCTATAAAACAAACCATAACCGTTAAAGAAGAACTATGGGTACGCAAAAAAAAAAAAAAAAAATCACGCAATATGACTTTTTTGATATGCCCTTAATAACCTCTTTTTGGCATTCCTTGTACATCCAGGGCTTCCTCTGATGTCCTTATTAATGCCTCTCTTTTGCTTCTGTGATGGAGTGCAATCTCAATACAAACTAGTAGTCCATCACTGGAGCCATTTTTTAAAGTGTATTTTATTGTTTATCCGATTAACCGATTAATCGAACTTAATAATCGGCTAACTAATCGATTTTGAAAATAATCGTTAGCTGCAGCTCTACCTCTCTCCCTTTTTCCATTGAGGAAATATTTTTTTGTAGATTTTTTTTTAACTTTCATATATATTTGTTTTTTGTTGCATCACATTAGGGTATATGTATACCAAACCACTGAAATCTCTTATACGCTTTAGAATTGTATGTAATTTAAAAAGTCACTTTTAATATTTGTAAATCTTATGCTTGTACTAAAATAATACCTGTTGATCCTGCCACGAAGCTCTCTGTGATAGCTCTCCTTCCCTGTCTCCCAATTGTGCCGCTGGTTGTCACCCTGTCACACTGGTCCTTGGTTGGAGTGACATCTCTCTGTCCCTGCCTCCCAATTGTGCTGCTGGTTATCACCCTGTCACACTGGTCCCATGATGCTTTTCTACTGTTTTACTGTTCAAAGCCCATTTCGTGTGCACCTTACTGTATAACTGGTGACACATTGTTGAGTGCGTTTTGTCGTTTGTTTTGCTGGTTATCACCCTGTCACAATGGTCCTTGGTTAGAGTGAAACTCTCCTTCCCTGTCTCCCAATTGAGCCACTGGTTATCACCCTTTCACACTGGTCCTTGGTTAGAGTGACACTCTCTTTCCCTGTCTTCCAATTGTGTCCCAGTGTTGTCTCACTGGCTTTAAATGTAGATTGGCTTTTTTTAACACACCTTAAACAGACATAGTCCACTAGGTAAGGTAACCATGTTAGTATGCGTATTTCTATTCCTAACATGGAACATGACCTCTTAAAAAGTATATCAGTTAAGGGAAAGAAATGGCAGAGGTGTAATGGCTTGTAGACAGAGTTCCACAAGTTATCTGGGGTGGTAGAGGACAGTAACATGCATCTCAGGCAGTCAGAGACCCTCCTTGTTACACAGAGATTTTCCAGTTTCCCAGAGAATGATGATCCTTCATTCTTCTTTACTCTTCTCTAGGGAAAGGTTTAGAAGTAGAAGCACAGTGTATATGCTGCTGTTGTTGCTCCCTTGATTTGGGGAAGCATGACACATTTCTCCCAGCCCACCATTCTTGGGAGATATTGGTCCCTTTATGTCCAACTGTAGGGTGCAAACTTGCATGGGCTTTATAATGTAGGATGTAGGAATTTCACTGGTAGCACCCACAGCTTTACCCGCCATGTAATGGAGGCTACCCTGTGTACATTTATTGGATACTGAATTTAAGAAGAAGGGTGGAGGGTCGTTTATTTGGCCATGATAAATATTGATTGATAGGGAGCTAAGTTAGCTACGCTCCTGATTGACAGTACTTTCTGCATTTCTTGTTCGATACCTGTTTTGTGCATATTAGACAAATAACAAGTGTTCCTCTTTTAATATGGCAGGATGAACTGTGAAGGTGTGGATAGCCCATCCAAAGAGCAGCCTGAAAGCTCTAGCAGTACATACAAGTCCTTTAAGATTGGTTAGTGGCGACAGTCACTTGTTAAAATATTTTCTCTAACTGCTCTTTGAATAGTTCATTTACATAATTTTTTTATCTCTTTTAGATAATCCAGAAGATCTCAGACCCAAAAGTGGCCTAGGTGGAGAGGCTAATGAATCCATTTTCTCACTCAGGTAACAAAAGACATGTATATACATGACAGTAGCATTGATAATGTTCGTTTTTGAAAAGAAAAAACTGCAGCGCCTTTAGATGATAGTAGTGAGCTGTTCTGTTTAAATATGGCACCCATACTAAGGATTATCTGCTTTTTTGCTTGACTTTGCTTAGACCAAAGAAACACAATTTTTTTTCTTAACCAATGTGCATATTACACGAGCACACCAAGGTTATGAACCATTGGTCCTGGTTTGGCATAAAGTGGAAATTACCTGTAGTGCTATGCCCCCCCACCCCCTCACCAGAATTTGATCATCTACATGGCAACCTAGGTGGGGAGCCGGGGACCAGGGTGTTTAGAGGACCCAGCTAGAAGCTTCAGGCATGATTCATTTTGTTCAGCTTTACAAGAAACTATACACTTGCAGGTAGTTGGTATCTAATGTGGCAGGCCGTTCCAGTACAGGCACTGTGAATGGCATGGGTTCTGTGTGCCTGTTGCAATCCTTATCAATGACATTTGACAGAATTGGCAAATATGCCATCTTTTCCGGTGCCCTATTCTGCTTTAATCCATTCCTGTGCTCTACAATAAACACAACAGTCTTTTGTGTTGCAACTACTGTCATATTATTTATATGGAGCTAGATTAGTGTTCAGGAATGACTCCTTTTGTGGTATTTGGCTTGTTTTTGCATTTGTCTTCCCTGGAATATGTGGAGTCAGACAAATTTCCAACCTGCCTAACTGGATTACGATAGGTGGGTCCTAGCCATAGAGTAATAAATGGAATTTCTTGAAATCCATTTTACTGCAGCATAATGGGCAAATGTTAATGGCCTCTAAAGTATCCATAGTTAGGCACTCAATCAAACCAGAGCACCAGGAACTTATGTGATTCTCTAACAACACTGATGGCAGTGCACCACTTTCTTATTTCATGCTTTCACATAAAAATGAGGAATCATTCCCACTCAAATTGGTTTTCCAGAAAGTAAATCTTACTGTACAATTACAAATTACTCCATCAGTGGAGCTCCTTTATGTGCCATGGTAGGTCAGAAATGGCCTGATTATTACAAGCAACAATGGAAATTGGGAGCATCCATTGTTCGGATCTGTTTATGGCCTGCTCTAATAAAGATTCATACATCATTAGTATGTGAAAGGTTTGTGAAATAAAAATGTTGTACACATCATTTTAATAATAAATGTTGGAATTATTGCAGCTCTTACACCACCCCAAGACCAAGTACTGCTACAGGTAAAGGCAAGAAGGTACCAGATCCTATGCCGGTCTTAGTGCAGGAGGCTGTTGAAAGTCCAAAGGTAATTATTATACTTTTAAATCTTTGTTACATATTCCAATGTTACCATAATGCCTTAAAAGAGTAGTCTTGAACCTTATTATTTTCTTACCTTATTACTTGAACCCCTTTTGTGACGGAAGGCGTACACTGTAGGCCCTGCCACATAGTGCCCACATGACTAAAAACGTACACTGTGCGTGATCAGCTATTTGGGGCTGTGGAATCAGTATTGAGGCATCCATTAATGAAAGGGTAACAATTTTTCAAACACTCGATCCTTTGCAGGGATCGGCTGTCAGACAATGATAGCAGAGTGGTATTTACCGCACTTGTTTTGACAGCTGGTACAGATCGGGATCCCGATATGTATCAACTTTTTTCTACAATGTTTCAGAATAGAAAGCTGCATGCTTCTATTCTGAAAAAATGTTGCAGGCTTCTTATCATTTTGGGAACGGTCCTTTACTGACCCTGAACTTGACATGCTGATAGGCACACATATGTGATATAAATATATAGCCCTATCTGTCCTCTAAAAAACAATGTATAATATGTGTGGATGCACTTAGTAAGAAAGTATATATTAGTGCCACGGAAGAATTACACAGCAAAAATGTAAAAAGTGCATCAGTCATTAATGAACAGAAACTAAAAACAAGCTCAGTCATGAAGGGGTTAATATTGTAAATCGTATTTATATAACTCTATAAAAGAGTCAGTGCTCAAATCTTATTGGTTCATTGCTCAATTCTTATTGGTTTATTAAAGTGAAGGAGGTGGAATGTTTAAAAGGAAGTAAATTGCAGTGCTTACTGTAATCCGCTGCATGTCATGGCGATGTGTCACCCGGTATCCGCTCTGGGTGACACCCGGCCTCGGGACGCCCATGCTATCAGAGCACACAAATAAGCACTGCTGGCATTGTATAAGGCATTGCCACTACAAGTGCCAGTTTAGAAACTGCTGGCCTACAGTGCCCCTTGATCTAAAAACAACCAAATCAGTGCTCCACCATCCTCAGTCTGCCCAACCCTAGTGCACAGCCTGTGGGCAGAGGCTCAGAGCTTGTGACATACATTCTCTATGAACTAGCACATCGGAAACCCTGTCCACATTCATCATGCAGACTGGGGAGGGTGCAATTCTGCGGCACATTGTAAACTAGCATTTCTAAGGTTTTATAGTTTTCACAGGATACTAGCATAATCAAAGAAGCATAGAGCAATTAGCTCAAAGACTTCTAAACACAATTCAGGTCCAGAGTACTGAATCTAGATCTAAATAGGAGGGTTGGCTTTGCAGGCATTTTAGAAGGCTTCAGTAGGAATTATGCAAATTCTAGAAGACTGCTATAGATGCTTACTAATGAAATGTTTCAGTCTAGTGTTTATGACCTAAATTTAAAAGATGCTTGTGTGTTCTCACTCTTAAAGAGACACAGTCATTAAGCTACGCTTAGCAGGATACTCAGTAAATTTAGCTCACTTATTGGTATTCCATATTTTTGTAATCTGTTTTCTATTATTTTTTTTCTTCACCTCTGATACTTTCCAGTGTTGAAGGCTTTGTCTGCCAGTAAGAGACTTTGACTATTCCTATTTGTGATGCCCCCTCATTTAGAGACCCTTCTGACAAGAAATTGTTATCTCTTTCTCACTCCATTTGCTCTTGACAGGATAAGCGTTTCTACCCCTGTTAGCCACGGTCCTTATTCCCCAGACTCTAGCTATCTGGTCTAAGACGGTCAGTGCTGACCAAGCAGCTGCAAGTGTTGACCCGCATTTTATTGATTGTTTCAGTCAGATGACACTTGCATCTAATTTTGTGTGCAATGCTGTACTTGATACCCGTTTAGAGTATTTATTTCCTCAGTTCAGAGTCAAACAGCTATTTGACCTAAGTGCTAGTCGAAGGAGCCTCAATATAAGAAGGGACATTTATGTTTGCCCTATGTGGGAGACCACATTTTTGAAATTCAGAACATGGAAAAAGTTCAAACTCCATGCAAGTCTATGGGGCCAGAACTATGAAAAATATCAAATATCTCTGTTGTGAAGCCTTATATGCAAGTTATTGGCCATAAAAAGGGTATGGGGATTTGGGTACTGCCCAGGGGGGCATGTATCAATTACTAAAATACAGTTTTTAAAGGAGCAGTGATTTTAACATTGCTTAAAGTGAAACAATAAAAATGAAAAATCCCTTCAAATATTGTGCCTATGGGGTCCCCTTATACTGCCTGTAAAGTGGCGCATTTGTACAATGTATAGAACCTGCTGCAGCAAATAGTGACATTTATAAAGAAAAATAAAGCATGCGGTTCCCCCTCCCAAACAATACCAGACCCGTTAGGTCTGGTAGGAAAGTTAGGAGGGACCCCATTTAAAAAAAAAAAAGAAAAAAAAAGCGTGGGGTTTCCCCCAAAAGGCAAACCAAACCCTTTAGGTCTGGTAGGAATTTTAAGAGCAACCCCAAGTTACAATTAAAAAAAAAAGTGTGTGAGGTTCCCCCCCAAGGTCATACCATGCCCTTAAGGTCTGGTAGGCATTTTAAGGAGGAACCCCCTCAAAATCCCCAACCAGACCCTTGATCCGAGCACCCCCTCCCTACCATACCAGGCCACATGCCCCTGGCACTGGGGGGGTGCTTTTCCATGGTCTTTGTCTTTTGACTTCCTATGTCTCCACAGCGCTGAGCGTATCTATCGGTGGTCCAGGGGTGGTTAGATCAGAATGTTGTTTTTCTGGGTTTTACTCAAAAGGTCAAAGGCAGTTTTCTCCCATCCTGGATTTAAAAGCTCTCAATGCTTGGGTTCAAATTCAAAAGGTTGAATGGAATTTGTTAATTTCGTTATTGTCTCCTTTCTCTAGGAGATTTCTTATTTTTCATTGACATCAAGGATACTTGGGTCTTTTTAGGATGAATCCCTGGCCAAGATTTTTCTTCCCCAGGACAATTCAACCAAGTTTGAGAGTCAAAATAGCCTGCTTTGTTCTCATCCACTTTCCTTCATGTGATTATGCATGCAAGTTCTGGGCATAATGGTATCCACCTTTGAAGCAGTTGTCTTTGGATCAGTTTCACTCCAGGATTCCTCTATGGAATATTCTCACATCATGGAACAAGTCCAATCTTTCTTTGGACAAGATGATCAGGTTGAGTTACTAAACCAGAATGTCTCTGTCCTGGTGGAAAATGTTCCCGTCCTTGACTCAAGGGAAATAGTACCTTGTCATTGAAAGGTTGTTACAATGGACACCAGTCCCTTGGGTTGGGGATGGGTTCTGGATGACAGGGTTGCTGGTCTCAGGAGGAATCCAAGCTACCTATCAACATCCTAGACAATATCATGGTAGTGACTACATCATTCATCAGGGGAGCACTAAGAGCTTTTCAGCAGCCAGGGAAGTGTATTTGATGTGATCCAGGATGGAACATTATGTGTCAGTGATTTTTGCAGTGCGCATTCCGGGAATAGGGAACTGGCAGGCAGACTTTCTCAGCAAACATCTGGATTTGGGCGAGTGTTCTTTCCATCCAGAGGTGTTTCAACAACTTTGCCAGTGCTAGGTAATGCTGCATGTAGATCTTCTAGCTTCTCATCACAACAAGGAATTGACAGATTTGTATTCAGAGCAAGGAATCCAACAGCAGATACGGGGGATGCCTTGGTAGCTACGTGGGATCAGTACACCCTGATGTACTGTATGTCTTTCCTCCACTGACATTGTTACCTTATCTGCTTAGCAGGATAGAACACAAAGGAGTTCATGTCTTTCTCGTTGCTCCAGATTGGCCTCGCAGGATGTGGTATTATGGTTCATCTGTTCACAGACAATCCGTAGCTTCTTCAAGATTGGCCAGATATTTTATCTTAAGAACCAACCTTCCGCCCTGCTACTCTGTCACTGGCTTTAATGTCCTGGCTATTGAAACCCAGGTGTTGAAAGACTGGAGTTATGGATTCTGTTATTCTGACTTTGCTTAGGGCTCATTAATTTTCTACTCATAAAATTTACCACCATATCTGGAAGAGGTATTTTCATTTGGGGTTTCCCCTCAGGCTTTTTATATATTGCGTATTCTGTGTTTCCTTTAATCAGGGGTTGACCAATGTTTAGCTCTTAGTACCATTATGGGCCAGGAATCTGCCTTAACGGTCCTTTTTCAGCATCCTCTTGCTTCTAATTCCTTGATTTGTACTTGTATTCAGTGAGTTGTTCCTCCTGTTGGGTCTCCCCTTCCTTCGAAGGATTCAAACTTGGTTTTATCTGTTCTACAAAAACCTCTTTTTGAGCGTATTTTAGATATTTCTTTATGTGTTTATTGATTCTGCGCTGGATAGGTGAAACAAAAGTGCTCTAAACTATACTAAGTGATTAAATAAGAAGGCTGCGGCAATAGGGACCAACAAAGGTCAAATCGTATATGTTTTCAATATATGCAGCAGTCACCACTGAAATCTTCCCCCTCATGCTTTGGCTTGTGGGACGATCCCTCTGCCTCCTCACGTGCAATTCAGGGCTATTGACCCTGCATTTTACTTCATGACGTCACAGGGCTTGGGACCGCTGGAGCGTGAGCGAGAAGAGACTGCGGGTGCTGGTCTTGCAGTGTGAAGTGAGCCTGCAGAAGTGAGGGATCAGTTAAGTAAAAGTCCTTGTTTTGGGTACCCGTGGCAAAAACAGACATTTAACCTTGCTCTGCGGGGGAAGGGGGATCCCACTGCATGGGGATTTTTTTGTTTTCCCCAGAGATGAGCTTTAAATATACATTTATATATTTGTATAGATCATTAATTAGAGATTTGTTTTAAACCCTTAGCTTTAGAGTGGTGCCCCTCACAACCAGAAGACATGTTCAGCAATATGTTATTTTCCCTGCTGGCTAGCAGTCACATTAAAAGTGCTAGCAATACTCTATTTGAACCAGCAGATGTCACTGTTGCTCTTGCTGTTCATGCTGCTCTGTGAAATGTAGACAGTTTAGGAAAGAAAAGGGTGACCATGTCATAAACTCTGCTAGTTTTTGTATTTAATTTGTTTATTAGATTACAGCACGGTCCCAATATTTGAAATTCAACAGAAGTGCATTAATTACAGGAAAGTAAATGTTGTTTAGAGGCCTGCTGGTGGTTTTCATGTGGCTCTACAAGTGCATTTAGCAATTAGCCGTTGATCTGGAAGCGGGTTTAATTGTACAGCTTCCCATTAATGCTTCATTTTTATATTACAAAGCAGTTTTCATTTTATGTAATTTGTATTTTGTTCAATGTAAACAGCCTATACGCTTATTTTTATGTTCCTCTGCTTAATTAGTCAAGCTTATTTCTGGTATCTGGTATAAAACACGGTTTGCCTGTTTATAATATTGAGCAAAATACTTGTTATTAATTGAGTTACTTTTTCCAAATCTGTCATTATAATGCAATAAGACAATAATGTTTCCTGTGTTGACAAAATAGTATGTTTCTGCAGGCTTTTTATTTTTCTAAACCAGTAGTTTTCCTACCCCTATTATTAAACTGTTAAGAGCAGAATATTATGGGTGCAGTATTTTTGTTTCACACCTCGCTCTTCCTGTCTTCTGCATATTAAGATTTGGTGATGAGGTCTGTTTAAAACCCACGGTATAGAACATGTGTTGTGGGTTGTGGTGCCATGCCTTTCATTCTGAATAGCACCCCAATGCGCATACACAGTAAAACCAAATGCATCTGCATTATAGTGCACCACAGTGTACTGTTGTTTTTTGCTCTGTACGTTATGTGCTGCATTGCCAAAAATATTGCAGCTCCTTTTTTTTTTCCTGTGTTGGTGCATGCTAAAAGCCCTTAAATTATCTGTAAACTCAAGCCAAAAGAAACACATAATGGCAAAACTTACCTATTGGGTAATGGTGCCCTTTAGGTAACAACTGGAAAAAAATGCTCCAAATACCTTGTTTGTATGATTTTATCAGTGGTCACGTTACCACTCTGTCTCCTCTTCTTCTCCCAGTTCCTAGGGCTGGGGGTGGAGACGCTTGGTACCTTGCCTCGGTTGTATTAACAGCAGTGCTCCCTACAGGAACTCCTGTCAATCTAATGTTTGGGGTGGTCTGGAATACGGGGCTGCCTATATCACAGGTTAACTACTAGAGTGTACAGGATGTAGGTATGACATCCAGTGCACTGATGCAGCAGAATCATTGAACAGCTTGACAACGAAAAAACAGGAAGTAACTTGGGATTCTCATTGTTGCGATGATCCAGGAAGCGCCAATTCATTTTGGACATCATGAAACTGATCATTTATAATGGGCATACATGGAAGGTTTAAACCATATCTAAACATAACAACTAAAATGTAACAAATTGTAGCTTTCTAATCCTGAAATGCGGTGTTTGCATTCGTTTTTTTTTTTTCTTGATTTTCACCTGTTGATCCAGCCAGTAACACACTTTGTGGCTTAGGGTGGCTCCACTCTATGGAGGAGCAATAGAGCTACCCTTGGACAGCAACATTGTCAATCTGTGAAGCAGGTAGTGTTAGATCTACTAGCAGATTCAGATGGATTGACTAACAAATTAAATCTGAACTCCAGCTAACTCTTAAGCAGTTATAGAAACAGTTTGTTTTCCATTTGGGATAAAGGTTTTATATAAATGAATAAAAGCTCACCATTGTATACACCCCTGTTAGTGTTAAATGGTTTATCTCAACCATCTACCTGACGGGTAGCTACACTTCGGCCCTCCAGCTGTGGTGAAACTACAAATCCCATGAGGCATTGCAAGATTCTCAGCCACAGACATGTTTCCCGGAGAAACATGCATCATGGGATTTGCAGTTTCACCACAGCTGGAGGGCCGGAGTTTGGCTACCCTGATCTACCACTTTTGCTAGATAGTTTGGTCTGTTAAAAGAAGTTTAAAAAAAAAATAACAGACTTAGTGGCTGGATCAACAGGTGAAAATAAAGGAAAAAGAAATCTAAGGATTGGTAAGCTGCAATACGTAAATTTCCACTTTTGGGTTTAGATACTCTTTTAAGATCATGTGGAAACGGTGAATGGATAAGTATGATTCGGTTCCACAAACACTTTAACATAGCCCACTAAAAAATCTCTATTACTGAACCCTTTAACATTTGCAAAGATGAGATGGGGACCTAGAAGTCTACTGTGGAATATATTTTAAAGTGGTACTTTAACAGCAAATAAAATATCCCTTCCAGAAGCAAGCAATGGGAGGGCAGGGTGCAGATCAAATCTCTTTTTGCTTCTACTGCTTCACAGACAGGGAGCACAGAAAACTTTAAAAAGCTGAAACAATGTAACAGTCTTCAAATGCTGGATGGTGACTGTCACAACACTATCTGCTGCTATAATAAGAAGGAAGGAGGCATCTAGGAACAGGTGCTCTAGCTGCCCCACCTCACTAATCCTTAGTGCTGATTGCCCATTGCTAAGGTGAATATCCCATGTACACACAATGGATCGGAAACCTTGGAGCTTTGTTGCCTAATTTATTACCTAATTTTACCTAAGTTAGTTATCTATTTAATTCCCCTATTTCCAACCAGTCAAAACTTTTGATTTTGCTGGTTTCCTGAGTATGTTCCTAAGCTGTTTGACTGAATTATCAATACTGAAACATCATTGTGCAGTGTAAACATATTTTACTTGTTATGGAAACTTGAACTTATTGTCAGTCAGATAACTTACCAATAGGATACAATTGTATTAGCAATAGAAACTGATACCTCACAGCTATGGGCATTATTGAAAAAGAGGACTACTTTTATACATGTTTCTAAACAACCGGACTCATAGTCCTACATATAGCTGAGGGTCAAACTCACCTCAGAACCAATCTAATTTAGATGTGTTGTGAGAACATGTCCACCCTATGTCAGTGTCCTCACAACAGGCTGAAAGTTCTTATAAGAACAACTGCCATAGCTTACACAAAGGGTGGGAGAGAGGGAATCGCTCGTTGAATGACACAACATAGAGATGAATATACAAAATGGAACCCAGCTGACCTACATTTCCATCACACACTATGTATGAAAGTTTTTACATAACATTTATTTCTTGTGCTGTAAAAGTCAAATGATTTCCACTTCCACTAATAACTGCAACAAAATATATTGCATTAATGTTACCCTCCTGCTTCCTATCAGTTATGTGTTTCCATCTGTTATTACAGGTGGACAATGTATGTTCCAGTCGGCAGGACCTTGAGAAGAAGATTAAGAGCCTTATTTTCACAGATTCTGATCTCACTGTGTCACCTATCATAGACAATCCAAAGGTGCTTAAAATGTTTATTGCTATGCATTTTATAACAATACGCTTATTTTTCACTTCAGTTCAGTAAATCAGTCCTTGAGCCAGAGTCTTTTGAGACACTAGGGTTGATTTATAAAAGCTGGAAGAACTATAATACATAAAATGTTGTACACTAAAGGAGTAAAATGGAAGATATTACATTTGCTTGTCTTTCTTGATGTACATGCAGCCGACCTGAAATGCTACTTTATGTTGTTATTCTTGTTTTTATGGCTGTTTATGCTGTTCCTGACATTCAACATATTCTTTTAAATTTGGAACTTTTAAAGACATCTACAGAGGAGATTCAACCAGCTACAGTAACTTTTATCTGTATATATAAGTCCCTTGTGTTGTGCATGTATGACGCTGCAGTGCTTTCTGAACTTTTGTCCTGTGTGTGTGTGTGTGTGTGTGTGTGTGTGTGTGTGTGTGTGTGTGTGTATAATTAACTGTATAAACCTTAGAAACAACCAACCCGTCACTTTCCCACTGTCTCTGTCACAATCTTGGATCAGGCTCAGAGTCAAGTAGCTGATACGGCAGGCAAATTCGTGGTATAACAGACCGAGTTTGGTACACAAGCAGATGGTGGTAGTAGTATAGGAGCAGGCAGAAGCGTAGTCAGCAAACAAGCCGAGGTCAGTTGCCAAAGGCATCGGGTATGAAGCAGAAGACAATGAGAGTAGTCGGTGAATCAGCAGCCAAAGCTCGGTACACGGGTAGCAGTATGAGCAGATTGTATCACCGGAGGAGCAGCAAGCAAGATATTGGCAGGAGCACAATAATCTGGCAAACAGGAAGTGCAGAGGCATGGCTTAAATAGGAAGTTCAAGGGAGGAGCAAGGAGTTCAGACTTCAGCAGAATTTAGGTTTAACTGAGGATTACACAGGAGATCAGGCAAGGAGCTATCCAAGGTTCTAAGGTGGCTCAGGTGGTAGAACCACTGCCAGCTACAGCAGAGGCCCTTGGGTTCAGATCCGGTTCCTGACAGTCTCTCCTCTAACGTTGCTTGAAAAATGAATGCTAACACCTTATTGGTTGGTACTTTTTTGTTTATTGCAGATACAAAGCTGATTAATAATTAAGCATATGTTATTTTCTTTCTGTAAGATAATTAAGCCAGCGCCGGTAAGATTTGATGGGAAGACTTTGGGCTTTCCTGCACATTCAGGTAAGAAATACTGTTTTAAATGAATTGTGTGGAATCTTCTTTACTGTTTTCTTGACAGACTTTCCAAGGTTAAAGATTTTAGATTTTGGTAGTGTTCTGTTACTGTATATGGTCATCATGAGAATTTCAAGAAATGTCTATTGTTTTTCTATATACTTTATTATGTTCTGGTCTAAAAAATATATATATATATATTCTTAATCAAGTATTTCTATAATTTTAAGAAGGAAAACAAGGCGCAAACAACCTAGTGTCTTCAAATATAGGTAAAACAAATACATTCACAAACGTATAGGGAGGTAAAGCATTGAAGTATGCCATGGCCGATCCAGGGAAAAATGGTCACTACTCTTTATGAATGGCAAAAAGCAGATGTTCGACTTCTCTGGAGAAACTCAGAACATCAACGTGTATATGTTAAGACTGGTTGGAACGGTTAAGCTGATAATAAGGGGTACAAATGCAAAAAAACAAACCAGGGACCTGAATGTGCGTAAAAACAAGTCACACTTTATTAGTGAAGAATCAAAGTATTGCACTCATGGCAGTATGCTTGTACTGGGTCTTGTAGATGCTGATAAAAGGATCTATAGCAAGTGCAGTCAAGTTATCCCATACCTGACTGGAGACTCAGCTGAGAAGGGGGCTGCCCGTGCACCTTCTGTCCCACACCTCTGGAAGTAGTGACAAGGGATGTAAGGACAGAGCAGAGCACAGGTGCCGATACTGGTGGCTGGCCGGTTCTTGAGGAGACGCTTGAGTGTGTTGGACCAGCTGGTGAATTGGCAGGACTGAGATGACACCGGGACCTCTTGAAACCAGAGCAGGCAAGGAATATGAGACCAACGGAGCACTGTCGTTGCTCAGGATGCTGATGGAGCGATCCACCAAGTGGCAGACCAGGAGGGAAGTCAGGTTGAAGCTGAGGTTATACACAGGAAGCCGAATCTTGAGGTGCCGAATCACAGATCAGGAGCAGGGTCAGGAAACTTAAGCCAGAGTCATACACAGGAGATTAGAGAGCAGAGGTACCGAATCAGGAGGAGGAGGCAGAGTCAATTAGTCAAAGGGGTTTTAACCATTCCATACTCTATCCAAAATGTAAAAAAAAGTTTAGGTTTTAGATATGCTTTAAGCCCACTCTGATCTGTTTATAAATGCTGGAGCTTAACTAGTACTCCATGGGCACAGCAGAGAAGTGTGTTCTGTAGTTAAATTGGCACATACAAATATCTCCACCAATTTATTAATGGAACTTTATAAAGTGTATGGGGAATCCCATAGGAGAAGTGCATCTTCACAGGGTAGAATCAGAAATATGAGGGAAAAAAAAGGTAAAAGTTTGCTGCAACAGTCTTCATTTTATGTGGAAAATGCATTATATACAGAAGTTGTAAATATCACTCTTAGCTGTTTTCCCAATGTTGGATGAATAGAGATGTAGCTTAATGTATCCAGAATAACATAATGCATTGTAAGGTAATAGCAAAATGTTTCTCTTACTTGAATGATATGTTCTACCCACAGTAAAATGTGCCTTAAAGTAAGGCATTTTTCAGCTCTAAATGTACATCTAACAACATTATTTCTTTCTGATTACTATAATTTCAGCAAAAGTTAGAAATTGCTGCAGCTGAAAGATAGCATGTAAAATATAGCTTTTTCCTCTTCTTCTTCTTCTTCTTTTTTTTTTTTTTTTTTGTCTGGTGTGATATTGAATTTGGTTCTAACACAGTCTTTTCTATGGATAGAAGATTGTATTTTTATTCTTGTTGCACATTGTCCATCAAAGTCAGCCATAAGATATAAGTAAATAAATGGCTAAAAAAAATACCTTGTATTCAAAGATCCCTTAACCCCTGGTTGATTTAGAGGAAGGTAAAAAAAACCCCTCATAAAGTGGTTAAAATTAAAATCAGGATTTAAAAAACAAAAAGATACCCTTGCAGTGGACGGCCTCCCGCACTACAAGTGTTTAACAGTCCATAAGTCTAGGGGGTAGAGAAATAAGCTGTAATACTTACCTTAATCCTTGCTTCGGTAGGCATTCACCATACTGGCAACCAGTCCCCTGAATCATCTTTTCTAAGGTGCTGCAGCCCGGGGTTGCACCCCAACATCATCACGTTCAATGCAGGACCAGTAGTCCTGCATTATGGGTGAAGATGGCGATGGCCTGTCCACAACCTGTAGCATTGGAGAGAAAAGAAGAGAGTTGGAGTCTGCCAAAGAGAGGACTAAGGTAAGTATTACAGCCTATTCCTCTACCCCCTAGACTTAAAGGAGAACTATGAGGTGAGTGCTTTTCACTCACCTCATAGTTCTAGCCGACCTGTGACAATGAGACTGTCACAGGTCGGCTTAGTAGATCGGGAGGTGAGCGAACACATACCGGCTGGTTTCCCCCGCTCCGATCCGCCAGCGCTGACTGGCGAAACAGACGGGGGAGGGGGCGGGTACAGCTCGCAGTATACTGAGCCTAGGGTGACGGGAGGACGCTAGTTTGTGTCCTCCCCTTACCCTAAGGAGAACTATGGGGAAAAGCCTTAACCCCATAGTTCTCCTTTAATGAGCGGTTAACCCTTGCAGTACAGGGGACCCCTACAGCAAGGGTATTGTTTACAAAAATCTCAGTCTTTCCCAGTCTACTTCTGTAAGGAAAAAAAATTATTCACTAACCCTTAAATGACAATCTGATAATTAACTTTATTACTGTGATGCATTACCATTCTACTATGTATTATTTATAAATGGAGTAACCCATCTTATTTTATAAATAGAACTGCACCCAACTCCAACAGGAAGAGAGTGGAGATTTCTCCAAAGTAAGGGAGAACCATTCTTTTGCAGTTGTCACTGGAACTGGTGTCCCTATTGGAAAGTTTCCCCTCTATTTCTGCTCCAATGACAACTCAAGTGCAAATTGATTTTCTATCACTTTCACTTACAGTGGTCACCAGGACAAATAGAGAGTGAAATCTCCCCAGCAGAAAAGCACACACAGCGGTACAACCTCACTGGAGTTCTTACCCTTCCCTGCTTTAGATGCACTTTAAATTAACAACTTTCCATTTATACAGGGTGATCTTATCCCTCTTAAAGCAGTATTAAAGGCTGATCATTGTTTACCTTAATGCATTCTCTGCATTAAGATAAAAAAACGACCAGTACTTTTTTGTGTCCCCGCCACACTTACCTGTGTCAACGCTGTCACCGCTGCCGGTCCCCAAAGCAATCCTTCATTCCCCAAACTTCCTGGTTGCGTGGGGAGGATACTGAGGGCAGAGGAGCCATTAATCGCCCATCAATCACCCTTTAGGGAGGAGAGGAGCCAGCCACCCTTTGAGGAGAAGAGCCTGCCACAGGGCTGTGTGTGTGTCTATGGACGCACACAGCCACTGAGGGCACGAGCAATCAATTTTGATCAAAGTGAGGGGGAAAAAAAAAGAACGAACAAAATTTTAACAGTGAATGTCAGTTGCATTTGAGAAAGTTCACTTTTTTTTAAATCAAATGTTAAAATCAAACAAGATTTCATATGAAATTTTACAAGTCTCTGATGGCATTATGGAATTTTCTTGCACGACTTTGCATGTAAATGTTCGTATGAAAATCTACTAGTGCATACCCAGCTTAAGACTTCTTTAAAGAGACATGTTAACTGGTCTTTGGGCATATCAATGAAAAATTAACAATAAGAATACAGACTGAAAAAAAGAAAGCGCACAGCTCATCCCAATCATGCATCCGCGCAATCCACATTCTGTGCACGGATGACTCTCTTCCGGAGTAATAGGCTCAGAAACTGTGGAATCAGCACACAATGATCTTCCAAAGAAATTCTAACTTTATTCCACATGCATCTGTACAAAGCACAAGCGCTGATGTATTTCTGCCTTACGCGGCCATAGTCATAGCTATGACTAAGGCCGCGTAAGGCAGAAACGTGTGCGAGGTTGTGCTTTGTATAGCTGCATGTGGAATACATTTCTTTGGAAGATCATTGTATGCTGGTTCCACAGTTAATAAGAATACAGAATACTTTCTGAGACAGACCTAGCCTAGTGTTTAGAGAAAGAGAATCTATCACATGTTTAAATATGTTATAGTTGTGTGTTGTTTGCAGGGCACAGATACACTGTATTGTGTGACCCCTCAATCGAGTCTACTTAGCAATACGTGGAGAGCTTACAAGCCAGTGACACAAGTAGCTCAGCTGAAAATCTAAGTTCTGAGCTTGTCATGGCTATGTTGGTATAAAGTGAGATCATCGGGATATTGAACCCACTCTGTACAGCTGCTCCTTTTTCCATTGCTGATTTAGTAAAGTTGTGCCTTATGGCACTAGTACACAGAGAATTCTTTAGCTGTCTATTTGGAAGATCTTACATTTGCTTTACAAACCATCGCCATTCACTGTTTAAAGGCAGTAATGTATTCTACCCTCCTTTGTTTTCTGTTCCATGTGGTTTTCTGAAAGACAAGTTCATTTTTCCTGTTGAATGCATGCAGTGCAGTGAACGTTTCAGCAACTAGTCTGACTGCTGTTTACACTGAAGATTATAGTGCTGTCTGACACTTGGTTAATATGTTTATACTGGATAATGCGCTTACAGATGATTGTGAGAAACCAAAGCTTCATCTCTGGCTTCTATTACAACTACATTACATTTCTATATTTGGGAAGAAAATCAGCCTATGGTAGCAAAAGGCTGGGTGTTCATCCATTCGCCAGATTTGGTGGAGATGTACAGTGATAGATACTGTTAATACTTTGTATTAGGGATGCACAGATACTTTTCGAGTAACAGTGCCGATTACTTTGCATTTTCATGAGAACTACCAGGGTTGCAGCGGTTGCAGCTGGGACCTGGCTCTGGCACTCCACCACTGTCCTGAAATCATTAGTCTGCATTGTTTTAGAAAAACTGTCGCATGACAATAAACAAAAATGTATCAGTACTCGTACTTGTAAGTACTCGGCAAGTACCAGTACTTGCAAAACTGGTATCTGTGCATACCTTTTATTTAGATTTATAAAAACAAAATTGTACATTAAAACAGAGATGTAGAAATCCTAGGAGCTCCGTGTGCTCCTTACAAATGACAGCTGCCTTCTAATTTTTTAATTTTTCTCTAGTGTAGTCTTGGAGCTCAAAAGTATCGGTACATGTATTCGTACTTGTACCGAGTACTGTACTTTGTATCTGTGCAACCCTACTTTGTATTCTACCAGCCTTTACAAAAATGTTCCCTAATGTTTCAGCCGCCCTTCAGACACAAAAACATCCATTCAAAGTGATATTAAAGTCAAAAGGTTTATAAGTTATTTCAAATGCTGATTACTGCACAGATCTGGAAGAAATACACAAAGTAGACCCAGATTTGAGTATGAATAGACATGTAAATTGTGTAATCCCAGTGTTCAACTTTAAGGACTTGTTGGGTTATAAAACTTCTGTTGATTCATATGCTGGGCAAATGCCATTTGAACATAATTTCCTCCACTAGACGGAGCTGACAAGCATAGGAATTTCTTGTGCTCCTCAGCTCCATCTAATGGTGGGAATGATGTGTGAATGCAATTGCCCTGTGTGGCTGGGAGGTGTTTAATTCAACCCCCATACCTGGTTGGGTATACTGCCATCACAATATAATGTTTATGTAATATTTATGTTGGCCTGAAAATCTTGTTAAAAACCACTCTCTCTCTTTAGTAAACATCATTAAAAAAGGTTTAAAGACTCACAAATTATGGTTTGACATAATAAGGTAGATGTAAACCCCACATTGATTACATTTAATTTGCTAAAGCGCTGTGTATTATAATTGTCATAAAAAAAAAAATACTTAAAAAAAAGTTGTTGTTACATCCCAGTGGTGCAAATCTCCAACAGCCTCTTTGCAGCCACTTTCTGTCTGCATGTGGGTACTTCAGCGTTGGCTTCATGGTTTCTTTGCCACCTAAAGTCTCCATCAGAAGCCTGTGTAACAGGATGACAAAACAGTAGCACAGTTAAGGGACCATCATAGAGCGATGTCACAATATAACAGGAAGTTCCTGAACAAGGACATTTATAGGAGGATTGCCAGGCATCATTTTAATTATTATTATTATTATTATTACATAGTATTTATATAGCGCCAACAGTTTGCGCAGCGCTTTACAATGTAAGGAAGACATTACAATTACAATACAATTCAAGACAGGATGGTAAGGAGGGCCCTGCCCCTGAGGGCTTACAATCTGAAAGAGGAGGGGGAAAGTTAACGTTAATGAAACTTTAACTTAAACTTTAACTTTAAATAAACTTTAATGAAAGTTACAGATTAAAAGCTATTGAAAACTACTTTTTGAAAAATCATAAAAATGTTCAAGGGCTATTTTGAGATTTTAGTGATTGGATTTACATTTACTTTAATGTGTTTGTCCACAGGTGAAAAACTTGCTTCACTGAAAGAACCTGATTGGAACAACTTTTTGACACAGCTCTGCTCTTTGCTGAATTCTCCAGAGAAAGTGCTACCACGAGTAAAGCTGAACATCCTCTGCTATCTATGTACAGTGTCGGCACATAAGGAAGTGGCCACTAGGATGATCAACTCCCAGATTGTGAGTAAAGGTTCTAGATTTGTTGCTGTTGTAATATATCTTGCTGGAGAAGCACATCTTTTAGAGAGTTGTTAAAACTGCAAGTTACATACGCCAAAATGATAACCTCTGCTGGATAACTGACTTAGGGCACATGCTGTAGTAAGGAAAAGGAGGCATTTCCTTAGGCCCTGCTTGTCTTCAAGTGAAACTGTCACTTTGTCTATCTTGGGCAAGGTAACAGGCTCTTTTTATAGTCCATCTCCTCTGCTAATAATACTTACCTTCCCTGCACTCCATTGCCGCCCTATTCTTTGCCACATTCTCAAGTAAAAAGCCCTGTGCTAATCTGTGTCAGAGGTTAGAAAGAACAAACAACCTCCCCCCCACTCCCACATGACAGTGCTCAAGCTTGGCGATTGATTGCATAATGGAAGGAAGGGGTGAGTTTCACATACTCCACCATACCTTGATGTATAGGGTCTTTCCAAATGGTCTGGCAGGCAAATCGGGTGGTGGGGGGAGCTTGGGGTGGGTAAGTGTTAGTTGCAGAAAAAGTGAGCTATAAAGAGATCCTGTCTCTTTGCCCTGAATAGGCAAAGTAGCAGGTTCACACTAAAGCCCTGTCTTTGGAGTCCTAAATACCTGGTGACTGTATCCAGTTCCCCCGTTGCTATATGTTTTCATTTAGTTTCATTCATTGTTTTCACCTGTGAGCATAAGAAACTTTACAGGGCTAAAAGTAGACTTAACTGTAAGGTAAGAACCTCATTGGAAAGCCAAAACATATATAATCTACTGAAACCTTGGTAAGTAAAACAAACCTATGATGGTGATTAGCCATCTTACCAATCTGACATTTACAAGAGGAACTTGGAAGGATGGGCATCTTAAAGCATTTTTGAAATAGTGTCGGCTTCTGTGAGCTGCTAAGTCTACTTTAGATCTGGTGTCATACATTTAGAGATTTAATTTAGGCCAATACACATTCTTCATCACTATCTTGCCATTGATGCCAGTACGTACACACTTGTTTAATCAGACATTGCCAAGTTCTAGGTTTGTCAGACTTCTGGTGTTTTTGGGTTACACGAAGCCCAATCACTTGTGGTGCTTGGCTAGATTAAGAATGTATAATGATGAAGCCCCAAGCTGTGCTATAATTCATAAACACTGTCATTCTTGCATATTTGCAGTTGACTTATTTTAAAGGAGAACTATGACATGAGTGATTTCCACTCACCTCATAGTTCTAAGCCGACCTGTGACAATGAGACTGTCACAGGTCGGCTCAGTAGATCGGGAGGTGAGAGAACACATACCGGGTTCCCTCACCTCTCGATCCTGTCACGGCTCTCTGCCGTGACAGGGGGAGGGGCTGGATTCCCCTCTCCCCGCTCCGATCTGCCAGCGCTGACTGGCGGAACGGACGGGGGAGGGGCGGGTACAGCTGGCTCTGCCTCTAGATAGGCAGAGCCAGCTGTCACTCACGCAGCTGGGCGGATCCCGTCATCTAAGTCGGGATCCGCTCCAGGTGCGGCGTCTCAGTATATCGCGAGCTGTAGCCCGCGGTATACTGAGCTTAGGGTAACGGGAGGACGCTAGTTTGTGTCCTCCCGTTACCCCAAGGAGAACTATGGGGAAAACCACTGACCCCATAGTTCTCCTTTTAAGTAATGTGGATTTTTACACTGAGTTGTCACAGCTGTTATTTAGGGATTGCTAGCAGGCTGTGGCATGAGAATGGGAGCAATACAGAGCTTGCAATCGTTACTACATACAGGTACTGTTAGTTGGAAGAGCAAAAATTATAATTCTTAAATTACAAATAATACTAATCCTTGACTTTATCACATGTTTTGACATTTGCGCAGTAATTTACAATACAATATACAAAATAAAAAGATAGATACCCAGAAGCACTGTGACACAAGCTGTAGTATTACACTCTTCAACAGACTATCCACAAATGTGTGAATTGGAATTTGAAAATTATTCGGCGCTATGAGATGCTAAACCACTAATTAAATCTAAATACCCTGAAACCTATAAGTACTGGATGTAATGGTCTGCCTATATTTTAAATGATGCAATATACAATTATTTACTTGTTTTCTTTGTTTCAGTTTTCATCTCTTATACAACAGTTAAGGGGAGCGGCGAACTGGGATATGTATGTATTACCTTGCATTTTTATGTGACTTAAATCTTGCATGATGCACTTATGAGAGATATTCTGTTTCCCATAACCACAGTGACAGAAATATGTTAGCCAGTTGTAGGAAAGAACATGTTTGACATGGATAAATGCAAGCCTGACCAGGGGATGGTGGGAGGGGCAGAAGCAGGAGTGGACTAAGACAATGGGGCTCATGGGTGAAAGTTATGATTTCTGGCCCACCTTGCAAACTTATAATAGTTTTCATCACAAGAGTAGATGTATATTTGTAACAACATGGATATCTAACACAAAATATTTTCATCTTGCAGTTGTTAGCTTTATCATAAAGATGGTTCAAGAATGAAATGCATTTCAGCTCTCATGTTCCCTGTTGCCAGACTGCAGACACAGGTTGATTATATTACAGCTTCAGTAATCTAACTTAGCCTCTTCCTGCTTCATATACTGTCCACAACTTACCCTCTACTCAGCTTCTGTGAGCTAAGCAACCACTGTGTGAACCACAAGTAACAACTTGAAGCTTGCAGAGTACTTTCTCCCAGCCCCTATTTGACAATGCTGGATATTTGAGTGATCAATCACCAAGCATGTGTACCTGAATGACCAGGCATTTTTCTTTGATAAAGGTGCTGACAAGTGGCACTGGAGGTAAAAGAAGGAAAGATGCTGTCCCAAGTGGCAGTGGAGGTAAAAGAAGGGAAGGAGAGGAGAGTATGTTCAGCTGGGTAGGGAGTCAATCAACCTGCATTGGCAAAACAGTATTTCACTCTAAGGTCAGCTATATAATAATTCCCTATTAAATCATGCTGCAAGTGCTTACAACAAACTAGTTTTCACAGCCTATACAATTAGCAGCATATGAACAGGTCAGAACATTAAGCATTAATGTAAATAAATAAAAATAACTGAAAGCTAATTAGCACAGGAAATAGCTCAGTTACTATTCACGTTATAAATAATCAATTATTATGGAATAACCTATTTCTGACAGTTTGAGCCAATTAAAGTAATTTACTACAAGAAGCGCAAAACTGTCATTGTGTAAGACTGTGCCAACTTCACAAGCTCATGATGCAACACTTGGTTGGGCACTCCAGCAGCTTTAAGTAGGATCAACATTTATACAATCACAAACACAGTTTTAACTGTTGGAGCCACCGAAAGTCTTTTTCCTCAGTAAAAGCAAAAACATCTCAAACAAAATACGAGTACTTGCCAAACCCATTCAACAGGTTCCACTACAGCAGCTTGAGCTAAGATCAACAATGTAAACCTTGAAGAACTTATATTAAAACAGTATTGACTATTGGAAGCAATTAAACACAGATATAAAGGTTTCAAGGAAATATAAACATGTTGAAAACATGGTTGCCTTGCCTTCAGTTTGCAGCTTTAAGAATCAGACACCACACTACGCTGGCTCACAACACTCACAACATTTACAAGTGTGTGGACTGTTGTTTTTGAGAACTGAAGGAGAATGAGCAAATTGATCAAGGGTATAATTATAGACTAAACTATCCCTCTCTGTGTTTAGTAAAATAAGGGATCCAGAAGATCCTGTCCAATCAAATACCTTATTCTGTTTTTTACATGTTTTAACTGTGAAAAACTTTCACAACACACATTAGTGCATGCAAGTGTAATAAGTACATTATATACTGCAATATGGTTTGGGAATGCAGCAAACTGCAAGTTATAGCCATACAAATTCATGTAGCGACAACTAGGACAGTTCTCACATGCCATACATTTGACAATAGTTATCTTCATTCTCAACAAAATCATCATTGGTTTATTGAGGAGGGCATGGTATTCTTAGAACTGAATAAGCTTCAATAAGTTGAACAATTTCATTATCAATAATGTCAATAGTTTTGACTGATCATCTCGTGCATTGGTCTCCTGTCAGTACACATGCATAGGGCACTACGGTTGAAGTGCTTGACTGCTGAACCAGTAACAAGCATTTGATCCGCATGGCCTTTCAGGGACAATGTCTCTTCAGTTTAACTCTTGATATTGTTATCAAGAACATAACTTGTGGCAAGAGCAACCATCTTCCTCATTGGAAGAAGCCTAAGGAACAGACTGCAAAGTTTTCTGCCACTTTATCTATCAAGAAACATCCCTTTTGCTTCTTCATTCCCTTCCATGTCGAGACCTCCTAAAAACTTGATTTCCTGTCCACCAGCAGGGTCTGTCATTCAGTCTGCCAAGACTTCAGACCTCAAGTTTTCCTTGGCATGAGGGTGCACCCCCACTATCCACAGGGGGGGTACATTTGTTACCGTTTGCAGACACTTGGTCAGCTTGCATCTCAGACACTTGGTGTCAGAAACGATCTACTACTGCGCATGCGCAGGGTCCCACTTTTCATTCTAGAGGCAAACGGGCACTTGCACGCATGCGCCAAGGACCGGCCGTGCAAATGGGCACCAAATGGCGCACAGGAAGTGACACTGTCTCCTAATCACTCTATTTAAACTACCTGCCTGACTCCAAGTTGCTGGATTGTCTTCAGGTTACCTGTGTTCCTGAGCTTCTGTTTGTTAATATGGATCTCTGACCTGGATTGCCCCTGACCACGTTTGATTGCTGCCTGCTCTTGACTTTGCTTGTTTACTGGATCTGCCTCTTGCTTTTGTACCTTGCTGCTCGGCTGGTGTGACCCCTGGCTTGTTTGACCACGATCTTGGATTCTGCTCTGCACCACACTGCCTGCCTGGTTGTGACTTCAGCTCTGCTTGACCCAAACCAGTGCCCAGACTCCAGCTCGCATGGTGTGATCACCACTGGCACCTGTGCCAATCGCTGTCCTCTCAGATTTTGTTCCCAACTGCAGAGTCTATGGGACATGAGGTGCAAGGGAGGCCTCCTCACCCATGCAGTCTCCCATCAGGTACGTGACACTTGGGTTCAGCAGGTGGTATCCCATGGATAAAAGCTGGAGTTTCACCTGTTGTCCCCTTCTTGCTTGCACACCTCCAACCTTCCTGTGTCACTGCACAGATTAGCGGATTTCTGTCTATCTCTCTCAGGTCTTCTGAACCAAGGTGTCATTCTCCCAGTTCCTGTGGCAGAACAGTTTCAAATATTTTTTCAAAGATTTTAACCCAACTTGTTCCCGGTTTCCAAACCCAAGGGGGAAATCCACCCAATTTTGAATCTTAAAGCTCTGAATGTGTTTATTTTAATCCAGAAATTCCACATGGAATCCTATAGGTCTGTAATAACCTCCCTTTCCTAGGGAGACTTTCTGGCTTCTGTGGACATCATGGATGTGTACCTGCATGTTCCCATCTTCCCAGCATATCAACATTTCCTAGGGAACCGATTCATCAATTGAAGTATCTGGGTCTAGACCTGGACACAGCTCATAGGAGAGTGCTTCTGCCGGAGAAGACTTTACAATCTCAGATTCGAGCTCTCTAGTCCAACTCTACACTTTTGCATATAAGTCTTTGGCCTGAATGTAGCCTCCTGCTAGGCAGTCCCATTTGTCAACAACATTTTTTCAGTGACTAGGTTGCCCCTGGCCTGGTGGCTCAGGAATTTGGCTCTGGAATCAGGGAATGTCCTCCTTTATCGTCTTCTGTATAATCCTCATGATAGCTGCCAGCTTTTTTATGCTGGGGAAGAATACTGGGCCTCTTGTCAGGGCAGGAGACACATTTAGGATGTTGGCCTCCTGGCCTCTAAGTTCAACAGCAGACTGGACAGGTTTGTCTTCAGGTACAGGGATCCTGTAGCAGAATCAGTGAATCTTCTGGTGGTTCAGTTGTATCTCTACATCCTGATCTTCTATACCTTTCCTCCTCTAAAGCTTCTGCCTTGTTGTTGAAGCCCAGGTTTTGAGAGACATGGGTATCTGGGTACCTATGTTGCTAAAGGCTAGAAAGGCTACATACAGCATGGTCTATCGTAGGATGTGGAACAACTTTGTTTGTGAGTTGGGGCTTGCCCCTTAAGAGTTTCTCCATGGGATCAATCCTCTGCTTTCTGTAGCTTAGTCTAGACCAGAGTTTCTTTCTCAGCACTATCAAAGGCCATACCCTTTTTATCTTGTTTTAGAGACTGTTGGCTTCTCACTCCTTGATTAAGATCTTTGTACAGGGAGTTTCCCATGTCAGGCTTTTGGTCAGTAAATTTAATAACCGGGAGGGAAGAGATGATCAGGAGAGGACAGTTTAGTACCTATTTCAGTAGATAATGTTGTAGGTTCCGCTGCTTTCCTTTTCTTCAGATTCTGTACAGAGATTTAAATTATGAGGAGTGACCTGCAAACGTTACAGAATAAAATGCTGCCTATTTAATTTATGTTTTTAGTACTCCATGTAATCAAAGGCAATAAAAGTGAGCATCCAAGAGATAAGAGGATGTAGTAAAATATGTTTTTCCTATGGGCCAAGGATATTGTCTCCAATTAGTTGTACTATGATTGATATTACTGCATACATTTTACTGCACACTTAATAAATCTTAAAGAAACTGTGTAGCCCAGTTATATCAAAAGTAATTGATGCTAGTAAGCTGTTTTAGTTTAGTTGAATTATTACTGAATTAATGTTGTTATGAAGGTGTAAAATGTTTGTCAATATTATTGTGTGAATATAATACTATATTTATCTACTTCATTTCCATATTAAGTACACCACAATCTAGGCGGTTTTCTAGATGTTATGCTTTCTGGACAGAGAATGCCCAGTACATCTCTTGTAAGCATGTTAGATAACCTCTGTAATGGCTATTCATAATTTATGTCCAAATCAGATAACATTACATAAATTGTATTTGCATTCTAATAGCTACTTATAATTAATTGCAGCAAATGCGTTTAGGAAGCTTGTATAATACTACCCTCTAGTGGACTGTATCAGAAGCAGATACTAATGTAGAGAATTTATGTAGGGTGTGGTAGGATGAAAGCTGAACCATCTATTCTTTGTTCCTAGTACAAAAAAGAGTTTCTGGCTCTGCAGATAAAAAAATATAACCGTGACAAACTCTTGTTTTCCAGCACACTTTTGTTATTGAAAGGAAATCTCCAATTCAGTTTATTATGTGAAAGCATTTTTTTTGTCTTTTATCTTTCTACCTTAGCAGCGTATTTCAGTAACAAAACAGATTTGCAGATTCCACATGAAATGCAATGCCTAGTACACACACGTATTGAACAGGGTATTTTTTTCCAATTCTGCTGAGATAAAAATCAAATTCTGTGTGTTTACCTCTGTTGTGTGGTGGACCTGAACATTGTAAAATGTATCCTATTAGCCAATTCACTTGTATTGCTTCCTTTAGTGTAAGCCAGGAGGTGAACCTACATACCTACACATTCATCACACTTTTCTTGTGTCATGGTTCTGAATGTTGCATGAAGAATTTGATGAATAGTAGACACTGTCAGCCTATTCTGAGAAGCTGGTTTCTGGCTTTTTCTTCCGTGCAAGGGCTTGTAGACCTTTAATGCACAAGTTAATGTGCAGGAAAATCATTTTGTAACATGTTGCTTTATCGCTATGGTGAAAAATAACTAAATTCAACGGGGAAAGGTGTGTTTATTGGCATTTTAAGTATTCAAAAGAGGCACAATACACCATATGGCTAAAAGTATACGGACACCGCTACCTTTCTGTTGTTACCGGTCAAAGGTACTGTTGATGATACAGCATACAAAGATATTTTAGACAATTGTGCACTTCCAACCTTGTGTCAAGAGTCTGAGAACGGCTTTTTAGTGTTCCAATATGATTGAGGCCCTATCCACAAAACCAGCTCCATAAAGACAACATTTTGTGGAGAATCTTTCCAGAAGAGTGGAGGCTGCTATAGCTACAAAGGGTGGGGGCTCAATTCCATTTTTATACTAGTGTTAATAGAATTTGATGTCCAACAACTTCATATACAGCAGGTGTCATGCTCAGGTGTCCATTAAAGTTTGGCCATATAGTATAGTAATAAGATGAACAAAATTAGGAAGAGTTACAGCAGACTTGCACACCTTGTTCGAGTTATGCAGCTACAGGTCATGTGACACAATGCTAGAATTCAAAGTGACAAAATGATGAAGCAAGGAAGATGTCATTTTTTGTAATTAAGTGAAATACCTGGTACTTCCGGGTATGAAGAGCATGTGACTCACTTACGTTTCACACGTAATGCAGGACTGGGTGGCTGCTGTGAGCAGAGTGACTGGGGTGGAGAGGATAAGTATCAGCAACTTGTGGGAAACAGTTGTTTCTCAGTTTGTTTTATTTACATTATGAGCCTGTTTTATCGTTCTGATTGGCCTTTTTTCACTACTATAGAGGTCAATATATTAATTCTGAACATGACTCTAGATGTGATAAATACGAGGGGGTTGTATCAGTTCATGAGATGTCACTTCTGTTGTCATACCTACTGCAGTAAAATTGATGGAAGCTGAACTTTGATACTTCCTGTTCCCCAATTGGATCTGGGTTATGCAATTGCTGCTGTGAATACCCAACTTATTTAGCTAGTAGTTTATTCTCTGGAAATGGTCAACATGAGCCAATCTCCAAAGAGTCCGCTAGTGCTAGCTAGAGCTTTCTAAAAAAAAATAAAAACTGATTTACAATATTAAGCACTGTGGCTTACTATGCCTGTAGCAGACGTGTGTCCATTCAAAGCTCTCTACTGTGTTGATCAAGGGCTAATATGAAAAGGGGAGCTGTGTCAATTAGTATTTCTATTATATGTTTTCTCTATAATTAATTATCATATTTGTTTTCCTCTTTTCAGACGCGCAAAGGTGGTAAGAGTCATCGGGTTATTGGCTGCACATACATCAGAGCTTAAAGAAGATGTTCCTGTTATAGAGGTACATTTAAGGATTACCCTTCATTTATTGATTATGATTGTGTACATGTTTATCAGTTCTAAATACTGATAGAGCTGCACCCAGATAATAATTTGTCCACCCCCCCCCAAAAAAATTCATTTTTAGTAGGGTCTGGTCACTGGAATGAATATACTGTCTTAGGGACACGATATATAGTGTGTGTATATATGAATGTGTATATATATGTATATATGTATGTATGTATGTATGTATGTATATGTGTGTGTATGTATAT